CGTCCAACCAAAAGAACACGCGCTCAGCGTTGTGGAAAAAATCCTTCAAATGTGTCGAGCACTGCTATGGCAGACGAACGAGAGTGGCGAGACTGCCTTACACATTGCGGCCAGACATGGAAGTGCTGATATAGTTCAACTTCTTATCAACACTGAAAAAGATGGCCCTCGTAAAGACCTTAAGAATCAGTCCCCATCATTAGAAGCCAGGCAGGGGCTCATAAGGGAAACCAATAAGGAGAAGGACACAGCCTTGCACTTTGCAGTGCGATTTAATCACTTAAGTGTGGTGAAGAAATTGATCACAGAAGACCCTGACTTTTCCTACCCTCCTAATGTTGCTGGGGAGACTCCACTTTATTTGGCTGCCGAGAGGAGATATGAAGCTTTGTTCTCCGAAATACTTGGCACTTGCAAGCATCCAACTTACCAAGGCCCCAATGGAAGAACGGCTTTGCATGCTGCTGTGATTTACGGTGATGAAGGTAGGTATATATATAATAAACTTACATAATTAATTATTTCTCCTGTTCTGTTCACTTTCCAAGCAAAGCATGGAGATATATATATATATATACATATATATATACATATATATATATAAGATTATATACAGTTTTTAGTTTTGCATTAGTTAATTATTATTTTTGTATATTTTAGAAATGACCACAGAAATACTAAACAAGGAAAAAGATTTGGTGATAGTGGCAGACAAGAAAGGGTGGACCCCACTTCACTGCACTGCATTCTATAAACTTACATTTTCTTTTCCTTTTTGATTCACTTTCCAATTATTCATTGTTTTTTTATTCACTTTCCTTTTTGGTTGGATATTCTAAGGCTAACTGAATCAAGCCGACGATGAACCGACCACGGTTAGTAAAACCCATGGACAGGTACTCCCAAAAGACGTCTCACCAATGACGTTGGTTCGGTTGTTAGAATGTCTCTTGGTTCATCTTGGTTCGGTTTCCTAACCCAGTTTGTATTGATTTTTATTTCGTTCTTTTTTATTTACAAATTTAGAAATGACCAAAGAAATACTAGAGAAGAAAAAGGATTTGGCGGTAGCAGCAGACGAACAAGGGTGGACCCCACTTCACTACGTTGCACTCTCTGGTTGTACTTCAATTGTAAAACAACTTCTGCAAGCTGATAGATCCTCTGCCTACATTGTTGACAAAGCTGATAAGAAGACCGCTCTTCACATCGCAGCCTCCAGAGGCCATGTAGGTGTAGTGAAACAACTTATTTCTCATTGTCCTGATTGTTGTGAACTGGTCGACCAAAGACGTCGAAATGCTCTTCATTATGCTTTGGAGAAACATCAATCACGAATCACGACTTTTGTTCTAAAGGATTCATGGCTTAGCAACATCCTCCTAAATGCCAAGGACGTTGACGGCAACACACCCCTCCATCTACTTGATGATGTTCCTCTCTTCGGTACTCGTTTCATTGGTGATGCTAGAGTTGATAAGATGGCATTCAATAAGGAAAACATGAACGCTCTTGATGTCATTATAGCTGGTGATTCAAGAAATGAGGTATGAAATTTTATCTAGATAACTTAATAATCCCTCGTTAAGTGAGAATTTGTGTCGGAGACTCAACTAAAAATTTACAACCGTATATTGATGGTCTGTGTTGTAGATACATCTGAAACAAGCTTTGAAAAAGAATGGTGCAGAATCAGGCCATCGAATTCTAAGCAAAAGTTATGGTGGCCATCGGAAATTGAAGGAAAACAAAGGTGGTGAAGACACTGATGAATCAAACAATGTTAGGGAAGCCCATCTGGTAGTTGCTGCCCTCATAGCAACTGTAACATTTGCAGCAGGTTTCACCATCCCTGGTGGTTACCAAAGTGAGAAAGGACCAGAGCAGGGTTTTGCAGTTCTATCAAAAAATGCAGCTTTCAAAGCCTTTGTTATAACAAACACACTCGCCTTATGCATGTCCAGTTTCTCTGTCTTGATGCACCTTTATATATCGATGCACCCAAAGCGAAAAGGGATTTCTACAGCGTTTGACGAGGTGTTGTATATCACTATGTCAGCTTTAATTTTAATGGTGGTTGCATTCGTTACAGGGACATATGCAGTATTATGTCATTCTCCGGGACTTGCCATTACGGCTTGTGTGATTGGCTGCTTTTTCTTCCTTATCTTCACTTTAGCCACACTTTCTGAAATTTTCTCTCCCCATGAACGGGGACGATTATTGAGTGTGAGATTCGTATTTTAAACGTTTAAAAGAAGATATTTATCTTTCAGATAAACTTGGACGATATTATCTTTTTAAGATATTTATTTTTTGGATAAACTTGGACGATATTATCTTTTTAAGATATTTATCTTTTGGATAAACTTTGATGTTCTTATCCTTTTAATATTGAAGTTTATCATATTCCTATAAACACTATAAATAGGAACATAACCTTATAGTTTCAAAACATGATAAATTAGAAAGAAGGAGAGAGAGTAGTGATGAAACTCTTGGAGTTTGGTTTGGGTGATAGTACATGAAGATAAGTAGATGGGTTGTCTTACCAATTTATTTTAAGGACTCTCATTATCGAGGTGAGTGGTTTATGTAATGTGTTCTAAAAGTTTTTATTTTGTGATAAAATATGAAAACCATGAATTATCGTGGATTTGTTCTATTTACAAATATCTCTCTATTTCAAGTCAAGCATGTTTAATTTGGTGCAATCTTTCACACACACACACACACACACACACACACACACACACACACATACACACACACACACATACTATATATATATATTGAAATATTTATGAAGTATGTATTATTCATGGAACATGAGAACTTCAATGTTGGAGTATCCGAGGGATATATGTACCACACGGGGACATAGGGTAATGAGGCCAATAGGGTCACGTCGTTGATTACATACTATGAAGGATAACCGAGATATGAAGAGATGATGTGATATGATCTGGATTGGTATATCTTTTCATGATTTTTTCTAGAGTGTGTAAAACAGCATTGCTTGATTGGCATATTACATAATCCACTCACTGAGCGGTGGTTGCTCATTCATCGCCCTGTTTAATTTTTCAAATGAATTAGTGGGCAAAACAAGGACTAAATCAGTTGAGACTGAATTAGATGAGAGTGATATAGCTTTATTTATTTATTGTAAAGTTGTAAAATTTTGGAGCTATTTTTATAAGATAAATTTATTTTAAACCCATATTTCGATTTCTTTTTCTTTTTATTTTTTTCTCACGCACGGAGCTCGGGATTTCCACCAACCCCGGATATGAGGCGTGACAATAGGAGAGGCATCATTGTTGATGACGAGGATGTGGATAACATCCCTGTCACTTTGTTACATAATGTTTGTTACTATTTTGTTTCTATCCTTTCCTTGTGAATTTTAGTTCATATAATATTTTTTTCAAAGTATTAAAAATAAAAAAAAATAGTAAATTTGGCTTACACCCTTCAAATTCAATTTGTCATACCTAAAACCCTTCACTTTTTGTTCCTATAAATAATACCCAATTTGTATAAGTAAAAACCCATGACTAGGATCCAATTCAGCAAGTTACCTAATTAAGCATAAAATCTGATTTATTGTACTTTTCAGATTCCAAAAATACCCCCAACTAAGCCATTATTGCATTTTGTATATTAATGTAGGAATCAATATGGAAACAGTTTTTAATTGGATTGTATATAATGACAGATGTTGAATTTGGAAAGATCTTCAAATGGTTGTAATGGATATAGGAATTAATTTTGGAACATTTAAAAAAAATTTAACAATAAATTCAAATTTCGGTAATTGGTTTGTTTAATAAAATGTTTATGTTATTTTTTTTTATGAATTATACATGACTAATAATCCACTTTATAATTGTTTATGAATAAAACTGTACATACTAATTATGTTGAAAAAATAATGTACCTATTTGTTTTATGAAAAATATAATTTACCTAGTATGAAAAGTGTACATAATTATCTATTCCAATATACCTACATTAATTTTAATGTACTTACAATTAGGATTTAGGTATTATATGTCATCCAATGTACCTACCATTTGAATAATATACCTACTACGAATAAAGTACCTATTATTTATCTATATAATGTACCTATTTTTTTCTATAAATAATATAGCCTTTTTTCTCTGAATAAAGTACCTATTATTTGTTTTATTAAACGTAATTTTTTTAATTAACCTATTTTCTCTCTCCAAATAACTTACCAATTTTTTTCCTCTAATAATGTACCTATCTTTCCTCTTCAAATAATGTACCTATATTTTATATAAATTATTGTGTACCTATTTTTAATTATGAAAAATATACGCAATTACAAAGTAACTGACTTTTTTTTTGGGGTAAATAATATACCTATATTTTATATGTATATATTTATATTATATTTTCATAGGTACATTATTGGATATGTAATTTACAGATTTTTTTTTTGGTTTGCAATTTTAGGGGGCAAGATGTGAGAGGGAATGACAACTAAAAGAAATGGGGTGATTGATATGCTATTAATAGGGAGTATATTAATTACAATTATGGCAGTTAATGAAATGCTTGAAATAAATTATAAATAAAATATGAAGTTTAGTGGCAACGATGTAAAAACATAGAAATACTACGACCTCTTATATCCTACTAGTCATTTAAATTTGAAATTGGGTTTTACACATAGATTTATAGAGTGATGGGTATATATCTAGGAAATAGAAAATGTAGGGATCTATATTGGACAAACCCTTTTTTTATTTGATTTCGGAAAAATAACCAATTTAGTCTTCGTAGCTGTTGCTATTCCTTTTCAATTAAGTATCATCATGTGGACCTTTTCATTTAAGTACTACTTATGGTTAGGTTAAATTAATAATCCCTAGCCTCGCCCTCAATTATTAATTAGTTTGGTGATGATTTGTGTCGGAGATTCAACTGAAAAATTGCACCACTATACTCTTTGGTCTGTGTTGCAGATGCTTCTCATGAATGTTTTGAAAAGGAATGGTGCAGCATCAGGCCATCGAATTCTAAGCGAAAATAATCATGATGGCCAGAAATTAAAGGAAAACAAAGGTGGCGAAGACACTGAAACGGAGACAAAGATAAGAGAATCTCATATGATAGTGGCTGCACTCGTAGCAACTGTTACATTCGCAGCAGGTATCACCATGCCTGGTGGTTATTACCAAGCATCAGATCAGGGAAATGCCATGAGTAACGTATCACAGCAAAATGTTACGGGCCCGGCCCCGGCCCTGGCCCCGAGTAATGGACCAACTCCGGGTTATGCAGTTCTGACAAAAAATACAGCTTTCCAAATTTTTTATTTATCCAATATGCTAGCCTTGTGTTTGTCTACTTATTCTGTCCTTATGCACCTTTTCATATTGACACTCCCTGAGGGAAAAGAGATGAGGTCCAAACGGTTTTGGCGTTCTATTATATATACCACTATGACGTCTGTAGTTGCAATGATGATTGCATTCACTTCAGGCACATATGCAGTCTTAGGTGATTCTCCCCAACTCAGCCAAATCGGGTTTAATTGTTGTCACCTATGCGTTCTTTCTGGTATTTTATTATCTTCAATTTACCTTTTTTCCCGTAATCCAATATAGACTTAGGCTCCGCTTGTTTGCGATAAGAAAATGTAGACGTTACATCTTTTGAGACTAGTCGGTGGCCTCCCTTCCCTTCCAACCTTGGTCCATTCTTCTCCTCTCCTTGCCTTTCCCCTCCCTTGGGCTTTTATTAGCTTTTGGATGGCTTGTATTGCTCGGTAGTTTCTCCTGGATTTATGTGGCTGCTTTTGTTTGCCATGCGTGTCTTCATTTTGCAGATTTGGAGTTCCTGCCTTTTGTTTTCTACTTGGTGACGACAAGGTGGGAGAGCAACTTACGTATTTCCTTTTGTGTGTATCAACTCCTTTTGAGTTTAGTGCAAGTTTGTAGTCTATAGTAACGAGAGTTTAAAAATAATTGTAAGTTTGTGCGTTGATGTGTATTGTATAAGCTTGATATTGTTGTATGAGTTTCTGCATTAGAATTGGTTTAAGTTTGTCATTTTATTTCAATTGCTTGTGACCAATTTATCAACTAAAATAGCTAATTCTTTTGGATTGAATGATGACAACACTGAAATTTTAAAAACAGTTCAAGATTAAGTTTACCATTGTTTATTTTCTGACCACAAACTATTTATAACCGATTAATTAAACTGTAAGTTGGAAGACTGCCCACCACACAAATATATATCGAAATTGATCTTCAATTTGTTCGGGATCGTGTTGCTCGTGGTCTGCTCCATGTTTCTCACGTTCCCACCACTGACCAACTTGCTGATGCCTTGACCAAGCCGCTGTCTCGCCATCGCTTTCACCTTCTCCGATTCCAAGATCAGCGTCACCAAAGGTGCCACTGTCTTGCGGGGCGATGCTCCTCCAGATATCACGTCCATCAGCTAGGCAATCATGGGTTGAGCTGCACCAAATCTGAAATTATTATTTGCATATATGCACTGCTATCTGTATGCATTCTACATTATTAGTTTCCATGTAAAGTTCTCTCCAGACCTGTACGTAGTACACCAATACAAACAATATCAATGCAACACAAAACCCCCTTTTCAACCTCTGTTTTCTATATTAACTATATATATAACCAAGTTTGTACAACATGAACGATGAAGGGAACACACCCATCCCTCAAAGAAAGCTGGGTATTGAGTGGCAAACACAGAATAATACATCACAGTATCTTACTAGAAAGCTGGGTATTGAGTCAGCATATGTGAATTTAGGCTTGGGTTGTGGAGTCTCTTGCAGCAAGAGGCAACATGTCAGCACAGGACACACTGTTGGGGCACTCTTTCTCTACAATCCCCTTATCAATACTCCTTGCAAGTATAGATACTCTTCCATGCAGGATCTCACACACACCCCACACCCAAAAGATGCTTCGTTCATCCGGATTAGTTTCTTGACCCAAGGCCCAACGACCACAATGGAAAATTGAGCCGATATTTATTTGCGACTGGGTCCAATCAACACGCCCAATTTGAAATTGGGCCCAAATGTGCCGGACAAATAATATCGAGAAGCCAATTTACTGATTTGCCCCTCACACAATAATGTCGCGTTGCGATTCCATCACCGCCCAACTACCATTCCAAAAAGGGAGTTTCACTAAAACACCCAAAATGGAGGTTGAAATTATAAAAAAACCCAACACCCAAAACACTTTATAAACACACCCAAAACCCATCATTACACACACTCAAAACCCATTTATAAACACACCCAAAAAGTTGACTTTGGGGTTGATTTTGGGTGTGTTTCTATGTTTAAATAGTGCTTGGGTTTTTTTATAAATACATGTCTAGAATTGGGTTTATTTATAAATTTGTATTCCAAAAACGCCATATAAATATAAATCAAAGCCTATATTTGTCATTTCCAGCACTCGCCACCCATAACGCATGCGCCAAAGCGTCCACGTGTCTCCCTACTACCACAAAGAAACACAAAGCGTCCACGTGTCTCCCTATTACCACGAAGAAACACAGGGAAACACAGATATGGCCTGGTACAGACTTAAATAGAACCTCACTATAAAATGACTCTTAATATTTGATGATGTCATCGGGATCTGTTGCTAGACTAGACCCAAGTACAAATGGGGACTTTGATAAATTGGGCTGATATTTGTTTGCACAAGGGTCCAATTCAACAAACCCAACTTGAAATTTGTTCCAAATCTGATATTTAACATATGATATTTGTGTTTTTCTTTTGTTGCCAAACGATACTATCATTCATAAAAGCTTTACGGCTTAATTAGAATAGTCGCATAGATAATCAATCATTTGAATTCATACTCCAATACAAATAAATACTTAATAAAGGTTTCAATAGGGTACTTAAGAAATGAAACCTTCAATTTAAGGGAATAATCCTAACACAATTTAGTCTATTTGGATGTACGTCGGTTTGAAATCAATCTAACTTAGTCCATCCGATCCAATACAAATTGAATTGCGATTTTTTCAATCCAATCCAATCATATTAGATTGATGTTTAAACCTAATCTAATCTGATCCAATTAATATTGGATTAGATTAGCCCTCAGCTTTAGCCCTAAGCGCAGGCTCCCTTCACTTTTTTTCTAACCTCTACGTACTCATTAAGACACATGACTTTCTCTTTTTCTTTTTCTTTTTTTATTCTCTCTCCACCACTCTTCTTCTTCCTCCTCTCTCTTTTCCTACTAGCGTTGTGTCACTCCAGCCTACAAAACATAATGAACTTAAAAAAGAAAAAAGAAAAGGAAGTTAGTTTGTTGATTGTTCTTCTTGTCACGAATGATGAACAATATTAGCTCTCAGCTTTGGCTCCCTTCACTCTTTTTCTAACCTTTATGTACTAATTAAGACATGAATTTCTCCTTTTCTTTTTCTTTATTCTTTCTCATGCCGCCACACTTCATCTTCGTCTTCTCCGTTTTCCTAAGAGTGTTGTGTCGCTTCAGCCTGCGAAACAGAATGTAATTAAAAAAGGGAAAAAAAAAGGAAGGAAGGAAGTTTGTTGTTTGTTCTTGTCAGTGATGATGAAGCTCTTAGCTTTTTTCTAACCTCGAGGCCCTACGTACGTGCTAAGACATGCATGGAAAACACATTCTGATCTTTTTCTTTATTTTAATATTCTATCTCTCTCCGCTACTCTTCTTCCTTTTTCCTGTTCTCTCTTTTCTTTCCATCTATATAAGTTTACCCGTTTTCCCTCTCCTTGGTCACTCTTCTTCACTCTCTCAAATTCAATCTCAACTAGTAAAACCAATTTTCATCCATTCATTCATTCATCTGACCTCGTCATTAACTTTTCCCAACATCCACTCAAAAAGTGGAAGCTGATCAGTACTTTGTCTTACGCACAACCAAAAAGAACCACATGGATCGCACCACTTGGACTGATCAGACTCCGTCAGCATCGGTCGAAGTCGTTAACCAGGAAGCTGCTGCAACAAACATCAAAACTGATGAAGCTGCGGCAACAGACGTCCCAATTTTAATGGGCATGGATCTAGATGTTTTCAACGCTGCAAAAGAAGGCAAAATTGATGTCCTCAGGGGACACGATCCGCAGCATCTTAACCAAATATTGACTCCAACCCGTAACACAGTCCTCCATGTTTATATCGCTTATGCAAGCACCCCAAAGCTCGTCAAATCTAAAGAAGAAGCGCCGATCAAGCCAACCAGCTTTGTGGAGGATATCCTTCAGATTTGTCCGACACTGCTATGGCAGCAAAACGAGAGCGGTGAGACTGCCTTGCACATGGCGGCCAAACATGGGCTTCCTGAAATAGTTGAACTTCTCATCCAAACTGCAAAAGCTCGTCGTTGTGAAGACCTCGAGCATGGGGCTGCCGCCTTCGCCTTATCATCATCATCAGAAGAAGAAGCAGCCTGCTGGAAGATTTTCATAAGGACACCTAGTAAGGAGAAGGACACAGCCTTGCACGAGGCAGTGCGGTTTAAGCACCTTGGTGTGGTGGAGATATTGATCAGAGAAGACCCTGACTTTTCCTACCCTCCTAATGTTGCTGGGGAGACTCCACTTTATTTGGCTGCCGAGAGGAGATACAAAGCTTTGTTCTCCGAAATACTTCGCACTTGCAAGCATCCAACTTACCAAGGCCCCAATGGAAGAACGGCTTTGCATGCTGCAGTGATTTACGGTGATGAAAGTAAGTATATATAAATATAATTAATTCTTTCCCCTTTTTCGTTCATTTTCCCAGCAAACTAGCATGGGTATACGTATATATTTATAAGATTATTATTATACACTGTTTTTACTTTTGCATTGATTAATTATTCTTTTTATATACTTTTTAGAAATGACGAAAGAAATACTAAACAAGAAAAAGGATTTGGCGATAGTGACAGACGAAAAAGGATGGACCCCACTTCACTATGCTGCATTCCATGGTCATGCGTCAATTGTTATACAACTACTAGAAACTAATAAATGCAGTGCCTACATGGGTGACGAAGCTAATAAGAAGACCGCTCTTCACATTGCAGCCTCCAAGGGCCATGTTCATGTAATGAAACAACTTATATCCTATTGTCCTGATTGTTGCGAAGTGGTCGACCAAAGACGTCGAAATGCTCTTCATTATGCCTTGGAGAAGAGTCAATCTCGAATTATAGATTTTGTTATGAAGGATACATGGCTTAGCAACGTCCTTTTAAATGCCAAGGATGATGACGGCAACACACCCCTCCATCTACTTAATGCTCCTCTCCACAACCGGATTCCTTTCATTACTGATGCTAGGGTTGATAAGATGGCATTCAATAAGGAACACATGAACGCTCTCGACGTCATTACAGCTAATGATAATTTAAAATATAAGGTATGATATTTCATTAAACAATTGCTTGTGTTGTGTGTGACAGTACATGTTGGAATCATGAGCAGTAATTTAGCCTATTTACTCTTCAAAGCTTTGGATTTGGGTATCATCATGTAGACTTTTTCATTTAAGTACTAGTTATGGTTAGGTTAAATTAATAATCCCTCGCCCTCAATTATTAGTTAGGTTATGATTTGCGTAAGAGACACAACTGAAAAATTGCACCACTATCTCTTTGGTCTGTGTTGCAGATATTTCTCAAGCATACTTTGAAAAGGAATGGTGCAGTATCAGGCCATCGAATTCTAAGCGAAAATGATCATGATGGCCAGAAATTAAAGGAAAAAAAATGTGGTGAAGACACTGAATTGGTTAAAAATATAAGAGAATCCCATCTGATAGTTGCTACACTCGTAGCAACTGTTACATTCGCAGCAGGTGTCACCATGCCTGGTGGTTATTACCAAAGTGATGCATCAGGGGGAAATGCCATGAGTAAAGTATCAAAGCAAAATGTTATGGTCCCGGCCCCGGCACCGATTAAAGGAACAACTCCGGGTTATGCAGTTCTGACAAAAAATACAGCTTTCAAATTCTTTTATATATACAATATGTTCGCCTTGTGTTTGTCCACTTATTCCGTCCTTGTGCACCTTGTCTTATTGATACTCCCAGAGGGAAAAGTGAGGCACAAGGTATTTTGGCATTCTACTATATATATCACTATAGCGTCTGTACTTGCAATGATGGGTGCATTCATTTCATGCACATATGCAGTCTTAGGTGACTCTCCAGCACTTGCTCACTCGGGTTTAGTTATTGTTATGTATGTATTAGTTTTCGGTCTTTATGTTGTAATTTTTGAATTTGGGAGGGAGAACTTACCCGGTTTTTGGATAAGAAATATATATATATATATAAACTTACCCGCTCGTTTAAGATGATAAAACGTAGATGTCACATCGATTGGGACTAGTCGGTGGCCTCCCTTCCCTTCTAACCTTCGTCCATGCCTCTCCCCTCTCCCTTGGGCTTTTATTAGCTTTTGGATGGCTTGTATTGCTTGGTAGTTTTTCCTGGATTTTTGTGGCTGCTTTTGTTTGCTTCGCGTGTCTTCATTTTGCAGATTTGGAGTTCCTGCTTTTTGTTTTCTACTTGGTGACGAGTCGACAAGGTGGGAGAGCAACTTATGTATTTCCTTTTGTGTGTATCAACTCTTTTTGAGTTGGGTGCAAGTTTGTAGTCTATAGTTACGAGAGTTAAAAGGTGGTTGTAAGTTTGTGTGTGTTGATGTGTACTGTATAAGCTTGATATTATATCGCATGAGTTCGTGCATTAGAATTGGTTTGTTACTTACTTAAGTTTATCATTTTATTTCAATTGCTTGTGACCAATTTATCAACAAAAATACCTAATTCTTTTGGATTGAATTATGAAAACACTGAAATTTAAAATTAATGTTACTAGCTGTTTAGGAATTATAGTAAAATAACATAAATATCGTTTCTGCATCTGCGAGCTGAATGAATTGTTCATCTGTTCGATTGTTCGTTATTTGAAGCACAAAATATTTTATTTCTAAATGGAAAATGAAATTTTCTTTCTTCTGCCCCTCTACCTCATACCTCTGCTTAATTTTTTTGGTTGATTCCAAGTACATGATTGCCGTCGTTGTTTGAACTCTATCCTTATATGAAACTATTCATTATGCTATATATGGTCAGTTCAAGTGAGGCCATTGTAGTTTCTCAGCATTGTCTCGGATGTTCGTCCTCTGGTGATAGTTGTAGAGTTAAGCATGCGTATGAGCATTGCGGCTGATGCAGCGTTTTATTTTTCATCAGTTCATAAGAAGTACATTAAGGTTTTGTTGTTCTCACCCAAGTCCAAATGGGCAATTTAGCGGCGGATATTTGCTTGAGCATGGTCCAATTCAAATTTGGCCCAAATCTGAGGTTAGAACTTAGTATCGACGATACAGATTTACTAATTTACCCCTAAAACAATAATGTCCGTAAACTACTACCATTCCAGAAACACCATAGAATGAAAGCCTAAATTTTTTAATGCTCCTGCAAATTTTTTAGTCTTCGTAGCTTTGGGGATTCCTTTTATTACCTTTTCATTCAAGGAAAACAAAGGTGACGAAGACAATGATGTAAACCAATTATATATATATATATATATTATGTTTCTTAAACGACTTTGTTATTCCTTTCCAGCGCGCATCTTTTTTAAAAATATTTTTTAAAAAAATTATAGTATTGCATTTATAATTCAAACAAAAGAAAACCACTAATCACTAGATGAACAGAAGCGGCAGGCTTATAATTGTTGAAACCAAGTATTTCTTTTTTGTTAATGGTTCAAGGAGATGGAACTGAATATGTTTAAGAGTAAGTTGCTCGTGATATTATATATTAGCGGTTTCCACTACTATTTTGTTAAACGAAACAAAGTGTCCATATTAGTATTTAATCTACATTTTCTAAATAAAAATGGTGTACACTAATTTTTCAATGATAATATGCTTGCTTGATCTGATTTAGTAGCACCATTCCTTCTTCATTTTCTTTTGACAATCAGTAATTATATCCTAACTCATAGGCTAACAAAGATTCATTGTAGTAAGCAGAACAAATCAATTTTGGATTGGCAAATGGGACGACTCAGCGTTATAGTCAACTACAAGTTGAGAAATGCAAGCTTGCTTGCTTTGCATTATAACTCACTCTTTTAATCATTGTTTTCAGTTTGGACTGGGTCGAAAAAATTGTGAACTCAAAGAATTATTGACTTAATAAAATCAAATGGAATAATCGGTTCGGTGTGGTTGGTATCCGGAATATCAAATGCTTTCCCTTTTAGTCAACTATAAATTATAAAAGGCCATATTGCTTGCTTACCATTTTTAATTCATTTCGATCAATAAATTATGTTACTTCTGGCGGGTCCTTCGGAGATCCAACCAAGCAAGATGCACTCATCTCATCTGCTTATGAATTAAACGTCTTTCATCCACTCATCCTCATCTCATCTTCTGATTAAATCCCAAAATCCACTCAAAAAGGGCAACAGCTCACTTTTTGACTTGTGCATAAGGGAAAAAACCAAAATGGATTCGACTGATCAGACTGTGAGCAGTACTCCATTAGCATTAGCCAATGCCGTTGAACAGGAAGCTGCAACAGACAACGCAGTTTTAATCAGGGGCATGGATCTAGATGTTTTCAACGCTGCAAAAGAAGGCAAAACTGATGTCCTTAGTAGACACTATCTTGACCAAATATTGACTCCAACCAAGAACACAGTCCTCCATATTTATATAGCTTTTGCAAGCAGCCCAAATTACATCGAACCAGAAAAAGAAACGCTGAGGCCACCCAGCGTTGTGAATGAAATCCTTCAAATGTGTCCAGCACTGCTATCACAGAAGAACGAGAGTGGCGAGACTGCCTTACACATTGTGGCCAGACATGGGCGTGCTGATATAGTTGAACGTCTTATCGAAACTGCAAAAGCTGGCCGTGACCTTGAGAATGGGCCCTCATCATCAGTAGAAGCCTGGCAGATGCTCATAAGAGAAACCAATAAGGAGAGGGACACTGCCTTGCACTTTGCAGTGCGATTTAATCACTTTCGTGTGGTGGAGATATTGACCAGAGAAGACCCTGACTTTTCCTACTCTGCTAATGATGCTGGGGAGACTCCACTTTATTTGGCTGCCGAGAGGAAATATGGTGTTTTGGTCTCCCAAATACTTAGCACTTGCACGGATCCAAATTACCAAGGCCCCAATGGAAGAACGGCTTTGCATGCTGCAGTGATTTACGGTGATAAAAGTATATAAACTTGCATTTTCTTTTCCTTTTTGATTCACTTTCCAATTATACATTGTTTTTAAAGTTTGTACTAAGGTTGGGCAATTCCACTGAAGAACCGATCGGACTGGTTTGGTTCCGATTTTTTATTATTATTTTGGTTCACTCTCTCTCATTATCTCTCACTTTATCCCTCAATCATCATCCCTCTCTTTATCTCAATCTATCCCTTTGTTTCTCTAAACTCTCTCTTCTTCTCACATTCTCCTACTTTTGTTTCAACTCTCTCTCATCCATCTCCATAGCTGGTCTGGTCGGATCCGGAGATCTATACTTGGATCTGCCTCTCTGACTTGCTTTCTCACAGCCATTGGTTGGATATTTCTAAAGCTAACTGAATCAAGCCGATGGTGAACCGACCACGGTTAGTAAAACCTATGGACGGGTCACTCCCAAAAGACGTCTCACCAATGACGCTGGTTTGGTTGTTAGAATGTTTCTCTCGGTTCATCTTGGTTTGGTTGCCTAACCCAGTTTGTATTGATTTTTTTTTCTTTTTTTTTCTTTAGAAATGACCAAAGAAATACTAGAGAAGAAAAAGGATTTGGCGATAGCAGCAGACGAAAAAGGATGGACCCCACTTCACTACGCTGCATTCTATGATCGTGCTTCAATTGTTATAAAACTACTAGAAACTGATAAACGCAGTGCCTACATGGGTGACAAAGCTGATAAGAAGACCGCTCTTCACATTTCAGCCTCCAGAGGCCATGTCAAAGTAATGGAACAAATTATTTCCCAATGTCCTGATTGTTGCGAAGTGGTCGACCAAAGAGGTCGGAATGCTTTTCATTATGCCTTGGAGATGCACCGATCTCTAATTAAGGATTTTGTTTTAAAGGATCCATGGCTTTGCAACGTTCTCTTAAATTCCAAGGATGTTGACGGCAACACACCCCTCCATCTACTTGATGGTCATCTCTTCGGCGGCCGGGTTCCGTTCATTCGTGATGCTAGGGTTGATAAGATGGCATTCAATAAAGAAAACATGAACGCTCTCGACGTCATTATAGCTAAGGATTCAAAATATAAGGTATATTCATCTCGTTTGCTTGTGTGTCGGAATGATGACCAGTAATTTAGCCTTCACTTTTCACATCGAAATAAAATTGTGCACGATATCATACTATTTGATTTAGGGACCAAGCTCACGCCAAGTCTAAAGTGCCCTTGACCCTTATGCTATTTTTTAATCCTTTCTTTCTAACAAATGGAAAACATATATTATAATACAAAAAATTCACAATTGAGCTAGTATTGGCCCCTCATTTTTAAAGTAAATAATAAAATCAATTACTGCTAAAATTTTAACTTTAATCCCCTAATTTAAAAATTATTTATATACCAACGGGGTTTAACATAATGAAAAAAGGTAGTCTCAGATTTGAACTCCCACACGGTTGTGTTATAATATATATAATATACACATCAAAAAAATTTCAGGGGTCATGTGCGGTGGCACCACTTGCACACCTTTAGGGCCGCCCCTACTTGGTAGTGTATTTTTGAAAAACTTCATCTCCCTTGTAATTTAGACTATCACTTATATTTTTATAAAAAAATCTAAAAAATTTAGCTACACCTCATTGCACGTATTATTATTGTGAATATGTAGGAAGCACAGGTTATTCTAATACACTTTTGTAATTGAAAGAGAAACATCAATTTAGACTGACAGTGTTTGAATGCTTGTGCAAGTTTTTTATTTTTTTATTTTGGAAAAATAACCAATTTATAGTCTTCGTAGCTTTGGGTATTCATTTCTTTTAAAAGAACACTTTTTCATTTAACTACTTATAGTGGAAATATTTTTGCTCACAACTTTAACTCAATGTGTATCCTTAACACTTACACGTGTCTATGAGCTTAACCATAGTTAACTCTTTACTTTGTATTTATGGAATCATGGTTATGCTCATGAACACGTGTCAAGTATTGAGAAGCGTGATGATGGTACACCTTAGGTTAAAGTGGTGAGCAAAAATACAGGTTTTATTTAGAATATAAAATATCAATTAATAATCCCCTCACCCTAAATTAGTTAGGTGATAATTTGTGTCAGACACTCAATTGAAAAATTGCACCACTATATTTGGTCTGTGTTGTAGACATATCTCAAGAATAATTTGAAAAGGAATGGTGCAGCATCAGGCCATCGGATTCTAAGCGAAAGTAGTCGTGGTAGCCAGAAATTCAAGGAAAACAAAGGTGGCGAAGACACTGATGTAAACGAATCCCATTTGATAGTGGCTACACTCGTAGCAACTGTTACATTCGCAGCAGGTTTCACCATGCCTGGTGGTTATTACCAAATTGATGCATCAAAACGAAATGTTACAGCCCCGGCCCTGAGTAAAGGATCAACTCCAGGTTATGCAGTTCTAACAAAAGATGCAGCTTTCATCATCTTTGTTATATCAGATTCACTAGCTTTGTGTTTGTCCAGTTTTTCTGTTTTGATGCACCTTTACATATCGACGCACACAAAGCGAAAAGGGATTTCCGAATGGTTTGGCGTTGCATTATATATCACTATGTTGGCCTTAGTTGCAATGGTGGTTGCATTCACTTCAGGCACATATGCAGTCTTAGGTGATTCTCCACTACTTGCCATCTCGGCTTTAATGGTTGACGCCTGTGTATTCTTTATATTTATTTATTTCGCAATTTTTGAAATTAAATGGAGGTTCGTTTCCGATTGGCTAGATCAACTTAAGGCTCTGCTGCCAGTTATTGCTACCACTGACGAGTAGATGTCAAATTAATTGAGACTAGTGCTCACCTCCTTTATCAAAACTTGTCATATATTAATTCAAGCCATTTATCTTCTTCCATTTTGATCTCAAAAACTGCTTCTCTTTTGTCTCTCAAGAATTGGTTATTTCAAATAAACTAGGCCAATTTGCTTCGTCTACAATTATGGAATCAACAAACCAATGTTGGCGTTTTCTCAGTTACTTTGTTGTTCTGACCCAAGTCCAAATAGGCAATTTTATGACAAAAAATGGGGAATTTAGTGGCCGATATTTATGCCCAAACCCAAATCACAGATTCACAGGTTGAAAATATCGACAATGCAAATTTACTAGTGTACCACTGAAACAAACAGTAGTGTCCCGTAACACCTCTACCATTGCAGAAGAAGCACCATAAAATCAAGAGTGGTGATTTCCCCACTCCAATTTTATCCACTTACACTTAATTTTATAATTAAAAAAGGAGTGTAAGTGGATAAAATTGAAGTGGGGAAATCACTACCCAAAATCAAAGCCTAAATTTGTCACTTCGTCAATAATTCCAATTGCTTGTGACCAATTTTTCAACTAAAAAATAGCTAATTCTTTTGGATTGAATTATGAAAACATTAACATTTAAAAATAATATAGCGATTAAGTGTAATTAAGCCAATGTTTTAATTCACTCATTCTATTTGAATGAAGGAGTTGAAAATTACATAGAATTCTAAAATGACGGAATTTATGAATCGTTTCTTTCAAGATGCTAGGGTACTATCATCTCGTTAAACTTGCTTGTGTGCCCACAATACATGTCGGAACGATGACCAGTTGTAGCCCTCATTTTTTTTAGACCGAAAGAAAAATGTTCACCATGACAGACTATTTGATTGACGGACGGAGCTCACACCAAGTCTAAAGTGGCCTTGACTGATTTGCTCTTTTTTTAACCCCTTCTAAGTTCTAAGACATGGAAAAACATATATTATAATATAGAAAATTTCACAATTGAGCTAGTATTGGTACCTCATTTTAAAGCAAATAACAAAATCATTGTCAAACAAAGTAGGGCACATATTCAGTTATGCTCATACATGCTCATCTTTTATTCTTCTCCAATACGGAGGTATTTATACAAGTACAAATATGTGTTAACCATAAATAAAATAGGAAATATATCTAAATTACAATATGAAATAAATCTCTATTACAATAGGACTAAATAATAATTGGTAAGTAACCAAACTTCTAACTAAATAAGGAACCAAAATCCTAATTAAGTAAGGACTCGCAAATACTCCCTCTCAAGTTGGGCCAAAGATATTTCACACGCCCAACTTGACAAGCGAGTCATAGAACACCATACTCAACATTGGCTAATCGAACAACTGTAGAGAAGGACTTATCATAAACCACAAGTGAAACAATTCACAAACCCTAACAAATAGGGCACATAGAAGAACACAGAAATCCTATGAGCATTAAGCATGGCAGTAGGTAAGGCAGAACACAGAAACTCTGTGAGCACGGCAGTTGATAAGGCAGAACAAAGATACCCTGTGAACATGGCAAAGGTAAGGCATAGAACACAAAAACCTTGTAAACACGGCAAAGAACACAGAAACTCTATGACCACGACAGTAGGCAAGGCAAAACCAAACCCTAAAAATAAGGTAAGGCACGACAAAGGCAAACGCAAAACCAAACCCTAAAAATAGGGAAATGCAAGGTAAAGACAAAGCAAAGAAAAAGTAAAGGTAAGACAAGGCAAAAGGCATAGCCAAAGCAACTGAAAGTGAAACAAGCAAAGGCAACAATGACAACGACAACAACAATGACAGGATTTCTTCCATATCAACTTTAGCTAATTCACACAGACACAACTTCTCTTCAATCCACCTCTCCCCTTGAAGAGAATGGGTCGTCGGAGTTAAGAAATAGGCAATATCTTCATGGAAGTACGTCAAGGTAATGGGGATATGTTAATAAACATATCATTTTCACTCCCCCTCTTCCCTTGAAGAAAGAGGGGAAATCACTTAAATTCCAAGGAGAACGCAAGAGAAAACCTGGCTCTGATACCAAGTCAAACAAAGTAAAGCATATATTCAGTTATGCTCATATATGCTCATCTTTTATTCTTCTCCAATACGGAGGTATTTATACAAGTACAAAGATATGTTAACCACAAATAAAATAGGAAATATATCTAAATTACAATATGAAATAAATCTCTATTACAATAGGACTAAATAATAATTGGTAAGTAACCAAACTTCTAACTAAATAAGGAACCAAAATCCTAATTAAGTAAGGACTCCCCAATACTCCCTCTCAAGTTGGGCAAAGATATTTCGCACGCCCAACTTGACAAGCGAGTCATAGAACACCATACTCAACATTGACTAATCGAACAACTGTAGAGAAGGACTTGTCATAAACCACAAGTGAAACAACTCACAAACCCTAACAAATAGGGCACATAGAAGAACACAAAAATCCTATGAGCATTGAGCTCGGCAGTAGGTAAGGTAGAACACAGAAACCCTGTGAGCATGGCAGTAGATAAGGCAGAACAAAGATACCCTGTGAACATGGCAAAGGTAAGGCATAGAACACAGAAACCTTGTAAACACAGCAAAGAACACAGAAACTCTGTGACCACGACAGTAGGTAAGGCAAAACCAAACCCTAAAAATAAGGTAACGCACGATAAAGGCAAACGCAAAACCAAACCCTAAAAATAAGGAAATGCAAGGTAAAGACAAAGCAAAGGCAAAGTAAAGGTAAGACAAGGCAAAGGGCACAACCAAAGCAACGGAAAGTGAAACAAGCAAAGGCAACAACGAAAACGACAACGACAACAACAATGACAGGATTTCTTCCATATCAACTTTAGCTAATTCACACATACACAACTTCTCTTCAATCCACCTCAACCCTTGAAGAGAAGAGGTCGTCAGAGAGTCAAGAAATAGGCAATATCTTCATGGGAGTACGTCAAGGTAATAGGGATACATTAATAAACATATCCTTTTCACTCCCTATCTCCCCTTGAGAAGAGGGGGGGGGGGGCGGGGGGGGGGGGGGGGGGGGGGGGAGAAGCACTTAAATTGCAAGGAGAACGCAAGAGAAAACCTGGCTCTGATACCAAGTCAAACAAAATAAGGCATATATTCAGTTATGCTCATATATGCTCATCTTTTATTCTTCTCAAATATGGAGGTATTTATACAAGTACAAAGATGTGTTAACAATAAATAAAATAGGAAATATATCTAAATTACAATAGGAAATAAATCTCTATTACAATAGGACTAAATAATAATTGGTAAGTAACCAAACTTCTAACTAAATAAGGAACCAAAATCCTAACTAAGTGAGGACTCGCCAACAATCATTGGCATACCTCATTTTAACCCATAAAGTTTATAGTATTTTAATAAATAAAGTAAATTATAAAAATTAAAAGAAAAAACCAAAAGGAATCTTCAAGGGACTAATTTGCAATTCAATGAAATTTTTTGGATTGGCAAATGGGACTAAGAGATTTTTGTTTTTGTTTTATATGCAAATGGTACTAAGAGTTAAGAAATGCCAACTTGCTTGCTTTCATTTCGTGCAATAAGAAATTATGTTTCTTAAACGACTTTGTTATTCCTTTCTAGCGGGCGTCTTCTTTTTTCTTTTTTTTTTTTTCTTTTTTTTTTTAATAAAGAAATCCTAGTATTGCATTTATAATTCAATTTTTAAAAAAAACACTAATCACTAGATAAACAGAAGCGGCATGCTTATAATTGTTGAAATAAGTATTTCTTTTTTGTTAATGGTTCAAGGAGATGGAATTGAATACATTTAAGAGTAAGTTGCTCGTGATATTATATATTAGCAGTTTCCACTACGGTTTTGTTAAACAAAACAAAGTGCCCATATTAGTATTTAATCTACATTTTCTAAATAAAAATGGTGTGCACTAATTTTTCAATGATAATATGCTTGCTTGATCTGATTTATGTATATATATGGTGTGCACCATTCTTTCTTCGTTTTCTTTTGACAATCAGTAATTATCCTAATTCATAGGCTAACAAAGATGCATTGTAGTAAGCAGAAAACAGAACCTCTTGCAAATCAATTTTGGATTGGCAAATGGGACGACTTAGCGTTATAGTCAACTACAACTTGAGAAATGCAAGCTTGCTTGCTTGCTTAGCATTATAACTCACTCTCTTAATCATTGTTTTCAGTTTGGACTGGGTCGAAAAAATTGTGAACTCAAAGAATTATTGACTTAATCAAATCAAATCAAATCAAATAATCGGTTCGGTGTGGTTGGTATGCGGAATATCAAATGCTTTCCCTATAAGAGCATTTCCACTCATTTGCCATGGCAAAAGGGAAGAGGAGACAATGGTTGTTACTATTCATGTGAGTAGTGCCTGCCCTTTCAATTTTTTTGTTAGTTTCCACCCATTGCAATGACGATCCAATGACAACAACTATTCACATGAGATATGAGGAGAGGAATTTGTATAGAGTTTTAGTGTGGAAAGTGAAGAACATGGCTAGGTATTATTTTTTAAAAAGTCTGAAAATTTTAGTTTTTTTAATACTTTTTTTGTTATTTAAATTAGCTGCTCACGTCACAATCATGTGAGCATTATGTCATCTTTTGTCCTCTCCCCTCCCTTGGGCTTTTACTAGCTTTGGGATGGCTTGTATCGCTTGGTCGTTTTTGCTGGATTTGTGTGGCTGCTTTTGCTTGCTTGCACTCATCTCATCTGCTAATGAATTAAATGTCTTTCATCCACTCATTGATAACTGTAATAATAGTGAGGAGTTAGTTAGTGTCAAAGCATGTGATACCACGTGATGTTAGTTAGATTGTTATCAGTCTAGGATTAACTCTATATATAACAGAGTCATTATTGTAATCAGTCATGATGAAAGATCAATATACAAATCTCTCTAAAAATAATGTCTTTCTTCTTCAACTCTCTTCTCTCTCTCTCTCTCTCTCTCTCTCTCTCTCTCTCTCTCTCTCTCTCTCTCTCTCTCTCTCTCTCTCTCTCTCTCTCTCTCTCTCTCTCTCTCTGTTATCACTCATCTCATCTTCTGATTAATATCCCAACATCCACTCAAAACGGGATGTTGGTTTAGAGTTTCCGGTACTTCCGATACTTCCAACGGCCCCAAAATGGCTCATTCGACTGATCAGACTCAGAGTCGTACTCCATTAGCATCGGCCAATGCCGTTGACCAGGAAGCTGCAGCAGACAACACAGTTTTAATCAGGGGCATGGATCTTTGTAACACCCCGACCCCAAATTTATCCCATGTTTTAATTTATTTAAGTGGAATTGAGAAATTACCCGTGGGATAGGGGTATTTTAGTCATTTTCTTATCCGGAAGGACTTTGGGAATTCCGGTTGTACCGTTGCGTAGAGCACGGTGAGATGAGTCCGTAGACACGTAGTGGGCTCGAATCGGAGTTGTAACGAGAGAGATATGATCAAATGAAGCTCAGTGGCATAATCGTAAATATTTTGAAGTGGGATTTTTGGTTAAAAGACGGAATTGCCCCCGTCTCTCACACACTCTCTCTCTCCCGCGCGTCCCTCTCTCTCTCCTCTGGTTCGCGACGCCACCGCAGCCGGCCACGTTTTGGCCGGCCGTTCAGTCATCCGGCCACCACTCGGGTCGGGACCGGTCCCAAAATGACCGGCCTGACTCCGCCGTCCTACCCCACCTGTTCTCCGACGTCAGCCGGCAGCGATACCGCCGGAAAGTGCAGAAAAACGGCCGGTTTTTACCCAGATTTTCCGGAGCTCGTTCCGGCGATTCCGGCCACCAAATCTTGCGATCAAGGTATGGTTTCTCACCTATTTTCCGAGCTCTAGCTGCCTGTTGGGTAGGAATTGATCGATTTGTAGCGTAGGCAACTCGATTTACGAATTGGGTTTCGGCCGGATTTCGGGATGAGATTCCGGCCACTTCCGGTCAGATTTTGGGGTATGCCCAAGAACAAAAGTGGCTCAGAATAGGGTTTTACATCTAGGATAGGAAGCTTGGCCGGCGGTTTGGAGTTTTCCGGCCGCCGGAAATTACTCAAGGCACCCACGCGCTGCCGGCGCGTGTGGCGGCGCGTGGGCTAGGAAAATGGACCGGCTCGAGGTTCTAAAATGATCCTCAGGTTGTCATGAGCGCGTAGGTGTGCTCGGATCTTATTTTGGGTACCGTTAGAGTCCCGAACGGATATCGCATATCGCGTATTTTCCGGGTTCGCTGGGTTTGGACCGTTGGATGGTCCTGATATTATAATATGTTGATCTAGGTATTACCAGGATCGTGTAGGATTCGACGGATCGTAAAACGGAGTCCCGGATACTCCGGAAATGCCAACCCTGGGGTTAGGGTTTTAGTAACCGTCCGATCGTGCGATCGTGAGCGATCCGACCGTCCGATCTGGACCAAACTTGCAGGACGTGTGTCCTAGACCTTGTAGAACCTATAGGAACTGTCATATCGAAATTTGGAGGTTGTGGGCCCCGCATGCCCGTTTGACCCTAGGTTGACTGTGAGACCTTTGGGATAGTCCTACCTTCCCAGGAGGGTTAGAATGACCATAGAGACAGGTCTTGATGTTATGGGGACTATGGGGAATTATCGGATGCTAGTTGTTTACTAAGGTGTTTATATTATTAGAAATTAATGTATAAAAAGTATGTATGGATTTTATGATTGAATGTTAGTTTACAGTGCTATACGCACTACCCCACGTACCCCCATATTGTGATTATGTTGAGGCCCAAGTGATAGTGTGAGGTCGCACGTGTCTTTGGGTTAGCCGGCGTGTTGACAGACCCCGTACGTGGCCGGGTACGTCCCGACGTATGAGTGGGAGATATGATGGTATGATGGCTGGTGAGAATGTAGCCAGGCCCAGTGTGAGGTCGCACGCGTCTTTGGGTTAGCCGGCGTGTTGACAGACCCCGTACGTGGCCGGGTGCGTCCCGACGTATGAGTGGAGCTATGTGATTGTGTTTGGTGTGTTGTGATGGATAAACCCGAGAATGTATGAATTTATATGGATGTAATGGTTTAATTGATATTAGGAGTCAGGATTGATAGGAAAGAGCTACGTGTGGCTTGATCCCTTAGTAGGGTACGTAGGCAGCCTGGGATAGCGCCTAGGTGCAGCCACGACCTAGACACCACTTAGGTGGTTTTATCGAGTATGATGCGGACCTCGTGGTTGGTCCCGAAACTGGGTTGAATTGAGGCTTGTCTGGTGACTGAGTGAGTGAAGGTGTGTATGGATGGATTTCGAATTGGATTTGTGCATGTGTGATGCATGGAGTTATTTTGAAAGCAGTGTGAGTAGTTCTGCTAGAACCATTTGAAGGCCGGAGGCCATTTATGTCAATTGCATGAGATTATATTGTGCGTGCTGCTGGTTGGGTTATAAAATGTGTTTTATGCAGGTGGAAATTTTGGGGAATGTTCAATTTACAGGGGAGACTCTGCCGAAATTTGGGCAGAAAGTCTCGTGCCCTAAATCCTCTCTGGTAAAAGAGGACATAGTTTTAAGGAGTGAACCCGGCGTGGGTGTGATGCCGGGGTCTCCGCAGGGTTCGTCTCGGGTTTTGGGAAATTCGGGGCGGGTCCTGTCAATCTTGATGTTTTCAACGCTACAAAAGAAGGCAAAACTGATGTCCTTAGTGGACACCATCTTGACCAAATATTGACTCCAACCAAGAACACAGTCCTCCATATTTATATAGCTTTTGCAAGCAGCTCAAATTTCATCGAACCAAAAGAAAAAGCCCTGAGGCCACCCAGCGTTGTGGATAAAATCCTTCAAATGTGTCAAGCACTGCTATCGCAGAAGAACGAGAGTGGCGAGACTGCCTTACACATTGCGGCCGGACATGGGCGTGCTGATATAGTTGAACTTCTCATTCAAACTGCAAAAGCTCGTCGTTGTGAAGACCTAGAGCAAGGGGCTGCCACCTTCACTTTATCATCATCATCAGAAGAAGAAGCAGCCTACTGGAAGATTTTCATAAGGACACCCAGTAAAGAGAAGGACACAGCATTGCACGAGGCAGTGCGGTTTAAGCACCTTGGTGTGGTGGAGATATTGATCAGAGAAGACCTTGACTTTTCCTACCCTCCTAATGTTGCTGGGGAGACTCCACTTTATTTGGCTTCCGAGAGGAGATACAAAGCTTTGTTCTCTGAAATACTTCGCACTTGCAAGCATCCAACTTACCAAGGCCCCAATGGTAGAACCGCTTTGCATGCTGCAGTGATTTACGGTGATGAAGGAAGGTATATATAAATATAATAAACTTACATAATTAATTCTTTCTCCTTTTTCGTTCATTTTCCCAACAAACTAGCATGGGTATACGTATATATTTATAAGATTATTATTATACACTGTTTTTAGTTTTGCATTGATTAATTATTCTTTTTATATGTACTTTTTAGAAATGACTAGAGAAATACTAAACAAGAAAACGGATTTGGCAATAGTGACAGACGAAAAAGGATGGACTCCACTTCACTACGCTGCATCCTATGATCATGCTTCAATTGTTATACAACTACTAGAAACTGATAAATGCAGTGCCTACATGGGTGACGAAGCTGATAAGAAGACCGCTCTTCACATTGCAGCCTCCAAGGGCCATGTTAATGTAATGAAACAACTTATTTCCTATTGTCCTGATTGTTGCAAAGTGGTCGACCAAAGACGTCGAAATGCTCTTCATTATGCCTTGGAGAAGAGTCAATCTCGAATTATAGATTTTGTTATGAAGGATACATGGCTTAGCAACGTCCTTTTAAATGCCAAGGATGATGACGGCAACACACCCCTCCATCTACTTAATGCTCCTATCTACAACCAGATTCCTTTCATTACTGATGCTAGGGTTGATAAGATGGCATTCAATAAGGAACACATGAACGCTCTCGACGTCATTAAAGCTAATGATAATGTTAAATATAAGGTATGATATTTCATTAAACTTGCTTGTGTGTGACAGTACATGGCGGAACGATGAGCAGTAATTTAGCCAATTTAGTCTTCAAGGCTTTGGGTATTGCTTTTCAATTAAGTATCATCATGTAGACTTTTTCATTTAAGTACTAGTTATGGTTAGGTTAAATTAATAATCCCTCGCCCTCGGTTATGATTTGTGTCACATCTCTAAAGATAGAATCCAACGCTTAGTTAAAGAACAAATCCTGCCATCAGTAGACTTCTCTGATCTAGATGTCTGTGTCAATTGTATTAAAGGGAAATTAACTAAGGCAAGAAAGAAAGGCTCAAACAGAAGTGGTCAACTCTTAGAAATAATCCATACAGACATCTGTGGCCCTTTTCCCATCCAAACTCTAGAAGGCCACAGATACTTCATAACCTTCATAGATGACTACTCTAGGTATGGCTACTTGTTTCCCATTACAGAAAAGTCTAGTGCTCTGGAAGCTTTTAAAATTTTTAAAACATAAGTTGAAAGACAGTTGGAACTAAAGATAAAAGTTGTCAGGTCTGATAGGGGAGGTGAATATTATGGGAAATTTGATCAAACTGGCAGACACCCTGGACCTTTTGCTAAGTATTTGCAGGAATGTGGAATTGTTGCACAATACACCAATCCAGGAACTCCAGAGCAGAACGGTGTAGCTGAAAGAAGAAATAGAACACTCAAGGATATGGTGAGGAGTATGATCTGCAATTCACAGCTACCTAATTACCTATGGGGCGAGGCAATAAGGACAGAAAACTACATCCTAAACCGTGTACCAAGTAAGGAAGTATCAAAGACCCCTTTTGAGCTATGGACTAACAGAAAGCCGAGCCTCAACCATTTGCATATATGGGGGTGCAAGGCAGAAGCAAAAGTCTTCAATCCACAAGAGAAGAAATTGGATCCCAAGACCATAAGTTGTTTTTTTGTAGGTTATCCAGAGAAGACGAAGGGGTACAGATTTTATTGTCCAAATCATACAACAAGGCTTGTGGAAACAGGTAGGGCAGTTTTTCTAGAAAATGTCCATGAAGAAAGGAAGGCCACAGATTTCGTTTTTGAAGAGCTGGGTGAAATTGCAATTGAGCCAGCAAAGCAAAGTGTGCAAGTTCCACATATAAGTGAAATACAAGGGGAAGATTATGAAGATATGGAACCTGAACAAGAAGACATGAATGAAATTCAAGTCCAGGAAACTCAAGATGTGAACAATGAAGTAGTTCAGCCACAAGAAGCACCAGCTCCACAGAGAAGATCTAACAGAAATAGAAGACCAGCAATATCTCAAGATTATGTAGTGTATTTACAAGAATCAGAGTTTATGGCATCAGATTTTGAAGATCCTTTGTTTTTCAATGAAGCAATTAATAGTCCAGAGGTATTGAAATGGAAAGAAGCCATGGAAAGTGAATTAGATTCAATGGAAAACAATCAGGTGTGGGATTTAGTAGAGCTGCCAGAAGGAGTGAAGCCAATAGGGTGTAAATGGGTGTTCAAAACCAAGAAAGACTCAATGGGCAACATAGAAAGATTCAAGGCCAGATTAGTTGCAAAAGGTTTTACTCAAAAAGAAGGAATAGATTATAGTGAAACTTTTTCCCCAGTTTCAACTAAAGATGCTTTTCGGATTATCATGGCTCTTACTGCACAATATGACCTGTTTTTACATCAAATGGATGTAAAGACAACCTTTTTAAATGGGAGACTGGATGAAGAAATATATATGGTGCAACCTGAGGGTTTTATAAAGGAAGGAGAAGAGCATTTGGTCTGCAAACTCAAGAAGTCCATTTATGGACTGAATCAGGCATCAAGGCAATGGTACTTGAGGTTTGATGAAGTTGTAAGCTCACAAGGCTTCACAGAGAATCCAGTGGATGAGTGTATTTATCTAAAATTTAGTGGGAGCAATTTCATCTTCTTAGTACTCTATGTCGATGATATTTTACTGGCCACTAACAATTTGTCTATGCTTGCTGCAAAGTTTTTTTTGTCATCACATTTCGAGATGAAAGATATGGGGGAGGCGTCTTATGTGCTAGGAGTAGAGATACACAGAGACAGAAGTCGTGGTATGCTTGGTTTATCACAGAAGGGATACATAGAAAGAGTGCTTAAAAGATTTAATATGTTATCTTATGCATCTGGAGAAGTTCCTATTACAAAAGGAGACAAACTAAGTAGAGCTCAAAGTCCTCAAAATGAGTTGGAGAAAGAAGAGATGAAGAACAGACCCTATGCATCTTTAGTGGGCAGCTTAATGTATGCTCAAGTATGCACAAGACCAGACATTGCCTTTGCAATTAGTGTGTTAGGCAGATTTCAAGCAAATCCAAGGAATGCACATTGGATAGCGGCCAAGAAAGACATGAGATATTTTCAAAGGACAAAGAGTTTTATGCTGGTTTATCAGAGACAAGAAAGCTTGGAGTTAGTAGGATATTGTGATTCTGATTTTGCAGGTTGTCCAGATGATTTAAAGTCTACATCAGCATTTGTTTTCTTGCTAGCAAGAGGAGCTGTTTCATGGAAAAGTTCGAAGCAAAGCACCGTGGCTGCTTCAACGATGCAGGCTGAGTTTGTTGCTTGTTATGAGGCCACCATCCAAGCATCTTGGTTGAAGAATTTTATAACAGGTTTGTGTGTGGTGGATTCGATTGCCAGACCTGTGCAAATTTTCTGTGATAATAGTGCAACAGTATTTTATTCCAGAAACAACAAGAGGTCAGCGGGTACAAAACATCTTGAAATAAAGTTTCTGTTAGTGAGAGAGAAGATTAAGCAAGGCCAGACTCGGATTGATCACATAAGCACACATGATATGATTGCTGACCCTTTGAATAAAGCAATTCCCAACAGTATATTCAAGAGACATGTGACTAGCATGGGGATTTTGGCTAGTTTCGATGATGCAGAATAGTGGGAGTAAATTTGCAGTTCATTTTCAGTTATTAGATATGCACTGAGGTAGAATTTTATGTTTTGATTTTGCTTAACTATTGAAGTTTCATATTTGGTTGATACAGTTTCTCATTCAATTAAGTATTAATTGTTTTCATGATTTATTTTCATGAATTAAAGTTTGAATGCAACCATACAGAGCTTCGTTTTAGAAGCATTAAGTGGACCTGGTGTATCTATATGCATGCAGTTCACATATAAAGAGCATATAGTGCATCTATTTGACTTTGTCTTGTGGGAGTTTCATGTGGATGAGGATTTTATGGTTGTAATTATGGATGCCTTGCTTGATTGAAACGAGTTAGTGTATCTGTAGTTCTGCATTTATATTCTCATCTGACAGAAACATGTTTAGGACTTTTGTTCTTTGATCTTATGGCGCCTTAAAGTTTGTGTTTGTTTCGAGTTCAAAAGGAGCTTATGTTTGGATGGTGTGTGTGCCCTAGTGGGAGAATGTAATCGTTTTAAGGTCACACACTCATTGAACTTGGCTAGGACTCTGAGACAGATACCAAGATCAATTAGAACAAGTATCCTGAAGCTTATACGGATGTGATTAAGATATTCTATTTAAGCATTGGAGTCCTAATATAATTAAAAGAGTTGGACATAGTCATCCAGTTACTTGGTGATTAAGTTGAATTCTAATAGGATTGTAATGGGAGAGTCCTATTAGAATTACACCAACTAAAGCTCATTATAGATAGGATAGGTCCCTGCCTCTGTCAAGCACCGAATCACAAAAGTTCTTGAGCCCCATTGAGATAGAGTGATATACAGAGCTTGCTAAAGAGGTGGAAGACCTGTCTACTGTAACAATGGTTTCTGCTGTAGGTATCTTGTGTATTATTTGTATGTCTGCTTAGATGTTATAAAACTAACAGTTATTACCAAGCATCAGATCAGGGAAATGCCACGAGTAACGTACCAAAGCAAAATTTTACGACCCCGAGTAATGGACCAACTCCGGGTTATGCAGTTCTAACAAACGATACAGCTTTCCAATTTTTTTATTTATTCAATATGCTAGCCTTGTGTTTGTCCACTTTTTCTGTCCTTATGCACCTTTTGATATTGACACTCCATGAGGGAAAAGAGAGGTCCAAAAGGTTTTGGCGTCCTATTATATATACCACTACAGGCTACAGCGTCTGTAGTTGCAATGATGATTGCATTCACTTCAGGCACATATGCAGTCTTAGGTGATTCTCCACAACTTGCCGGATCGGGTTTAATTATTGTCAGCTATGCCTTCTTTTTGTTAAGTTATGTTCAATTTCTTGTTGTTCAGAGGGAGAACAATTCCATATTCCTATATAAACTTACCCGCTTGTTTGTGATAATGTTTAAAAAGTAGGCTCACATCGATTGAGACTAGTCGGTGGCCTCCCTTCCCTTCCAACCTTCGTCCATGCCTCTCCCCTCTCCCTTGGGCGTTTATTAGCTTTTGGATGGCTTGTATTGCTTGGTAGTTTTTCCTGGATTTGTGTGGCTGCTTTGGTTTGCTTTGCGTGTCTTCATTTTGCAGATTTGGAGTTCCTGCTTTTCTGCTTGGTGACGACAAGGTGGGAGAGCAACTTATGCATTTCCTTTTGTGTGTACCAAACTCTTTTTGAGTTGGGTGCAAGTTTGTAATCTATAGTTACGACAGTTTAAAAGTCGCTATAAATTTGTGCGTATAAGCTTGATATTGTCGTATGAGTTTGTACATTAGAATTGGTTTGTTACTTACCAAATCTGAAATTATTATTTGCATATATGTACTGCTATTTTTATGCATTCTACATTATTAGTTTCCATGTTAAGTTCTCTCCAGGCCTGTATGTAACTATGCACACCAGTACAAACAATATCAATACAATACGAAACCTTTTTCAGCCTCTGTTTTCTATATTAACTATATATATATATATAACCAAGTTTGTTCAACATGAACGATAACGGGAACACACCCATCCCTCAAAGAAAGCTGGGTACTGAGTGGCAAACACAGACAATACATCACAGTATCTTCAAGAATAAGTTTTTCATGAGGTGAAATTTCTACATACTAGAGAGTTTACAAACACTAAGCTAAAGTTACATAGACCAAAAAAGTAGAGCAAATCAATACAAGTTGAGAAGGGATGATAGGATATAAAGGCACTTACCTATTATAAGATTACAAGTGTCATGTCGTGATTTGTTGAGTTAGTTAGATTGCTTAGTCGAGAAGATTACAATGTAACAATACATAAGAATCGTGTAGGAAGAAACAGAAATAGAAAACAAAATCTTTTTCTTCAATTCTCACAGATTCTTCTCATTCTCTTTAATGTTTTCACATGGATCGCACCACTTGGACTGATCAGACTCCGTCAGCATCGGTCGAAGTCGCTGACCAGGAAGCCGCTGCAACAGACGTCCCAATTTTAATGGGCATGGATCTGGATGTTTTCAACGCTGCAAAAGAAGGCAAAATTGATGTCCTCAGGGGACACGATCCGCAGCATCTTAACCAAATATTGACTCCAACCCGTAACACAGTCCTCCATGTTTATATTGCTTATGCAAGCACCCCAAAGCTCGTCAAATCTAAAGAAGAAGCGCCGATCAAGCCAACCAGCTTTGTGGAGGATATCCTTCAGATTTGTCCGACACTGCTATGGCAGCAAAATGAGAGCGGTGAGACTGCCTTGCACATGGCGGCCAAACATGGGCTTGCTGAAATAGTTGAACTTCTCATCCAAACTGCAAAAGCTCGTCGTTGTGAAGACCTCGAGCATGGGGCTGCCGCCTTCGCCTTATCATCATCATCAGAAGAAGAAGCAGCCTGCTGGAAGATTTTCATAAGGACACCTAGTAAGGAGAAGGACACAGCCTTGCACGAGTCAGTGCGGTTTAAGCACCTTGGTGTGGTGGAGATATTGATCAGAGAAGACCCTGAATTTTCCTACCCTCCTAATGTTGATGAGGAGACCCCACTTTATTTGGCTGCCGAGAGGAGATACAAAGCTTTGTTCTCCGAAATACTTCACACTTGCAAGCATCCAACTTACCAAGGCCCCAATGGAAGAACGGCTTTGCATGCTGCAGTGATTTACGGTGATGAAGGTAGGTATATATAATATTCTTACATAATTAATTATTTCTCCTGTTCTGTTCACTTTCCAAGCATAGCATGGATATATATATAAAAGATTATAACTAGTTAATTATTATTTTTGTATATTTTAGAAATGACCACAGAAATACTAACCAAGGAAAAAGCTTTGGCGATAGTGGCAGACAAGAAAGGGTGGACCCCACTTCACTACGCTGCATCCTATGGTAGTACTTCAATTGTTTCACAACTACTAGAAGCTGATAAACGCAGTGCCCACATGGCTGACGAAGTTGATAAGAAGACCGCTCTTCACATTGCAGCCTCCAAAGGCCATGTTAATGTAATGAAACAACTTATTTCCTATTGTCCTGATTGTTGCGAAGTGGTCGACCAAAGACGTCGAAATGCTCTTCACTATGCCTTGGAGACTCGTCAATCTCGAATTATAGATTTTGTTATGATGGATGCATGGCTTAGCAACGTCCTCTTAAATGCCAAGGATGTTGACGGCAACACACCCCTCCATCTACTTAATGCTCCTCACTACTCCCGGATTCCTTTCATTGGTGATGGTAGGGTTGATAAGATGGCATTCAATAAGGAAAACATGAACGCTCTTGACGTCATTAAAGCTAATATTAATTTTAAATATAAGGTATGATATTTCATTAAACTTGCTTATGTGTTTGAATGCTCATGCAAATTATTTTTTTATTTGATTTCGGAAAAATAACCAATTTAGTCATCGTAGCTTTTGCTATTCCTTTTCAATTAAGTATCATCATGTAGACTTTTTCATTTAAGTACTACTTATGGTTAGGTTAAATTAATAATCCCTAGCCTCACCCTCAATTATTAATTAGGTTGGTGATGATTTGTGTCGGAGACTCAACTAAAAAATTGCTCCACTATACTCTTTGGTCTGTGTTGCAGATGCGTCTCATGAATGTTTTGAAAAGGAATGGTGCAGCATCAGGCCATCGAATTCTAAGCGAAAATAATCATGATGGCCAGAAATTAAAGGAAAACAAAGGTGGCGAAGTCACTGAAACGAAGAAAAATATAAGAGAATCCCATCTGATAGTGGCTACACTCGTAGCAACTGTTACATTCGCAGCAGGTATCACCATGCCTGGTGGTTATTACCAATCATCAGATCAGGGAAATGCCATGAGTAACGTATCACAGCAAAATGTTACGGGCCCGGCCCTGGCCCGGAGTAATGGACCAACTCCGGGTTATGCAGTTCTGACAAAAAATACAGCTTTCAAATTATTTTATATATACAATATGTTCGCCTTGTGTTTGTCCACTTTTTCTGTCCTTATGCACCTTTTCATATTGACACTCCCTGGGGGAAAAGAGAGGCCCAAAAGGTTTTGGCGTTCTATTATATATACCACTATAATGTCTCTACTTGCAATGATGATTGCATTCACTTCAGGCACATATGCAGTCTTAGGTGATTCTCCCGAACTTGCCAAATCGGGTTTATTTGTTGTCGCCTATGCGTTCGTTTTGTTAGTTCATTATTTTAAATTGGCTTTTGCTCCCGGAATCGGGTATAAACTTAGGCACCTCTTGTTTGCGATAATAAAAAGTAGACGTCACATCGATTGAGGCTAGTCGGTGGCCTCCCTTCCCTTCCAACCTTGGTCCATTCTTCTCCTCTCCTTGCCTTTCCCCTCCCTTGGGCTTTTATTAGCTTTTGGATGGCTTGTATTGCTCGGTAGTTTCTCCTGGATTTGTGTGGCTGCTTTTGTTTGCTATGCGTGTCTTCATTTTGCAGATTTGGAGTTCCTGCCTTTTGTTTTCTACTTGGTGACGACAAGGTGGGAGAGCAACTTATGTATTTCCATTTGTGTGTATCAACTCTTTTTGAGTTTAGTGCAAGTTTGTAGTCCATAGTAATGAGAGTTTAAAGATGGTTGTAAGTTTGTGCGTTGATGTGTATTGTATAAACTTGATATTGTTGTATGAGTTTGTGCATTAGAATTGGTTTAAGTTTATCATTTTATTTCAATTGCTTGTGACCAATTTATCAACTAAAATAGCTAATTCTTTCGGATTGAATGATGACAACACTGAAATTTTAAAAACAGTTCAAGATTAAGTTTAATTAAGCTTATTATTTGCATATATGCACTGCTATCTTTATGCATTCTACATTATTAGTTTCCATGTAAAGTTCTCTCCAGACCTGTACGCAGTACACCAATACAAACAATATCAATGCAATACAAAACCCCCTTTTAAACCTCTGTTTTCTATATTAACTACATATATAATATAACCAAGTTTGTTCAACATGAACGATAACTGGAACACACCCATCCCTCAAAGAAAGCAATACATCACAGTATCTTACTAGATTTTTCTTTCAGTAAATAAACTTAAAGAATAAGTTTTTTATGAGGTGAAATTTCTACATACTAGAGAGTTTACAAACACTAAGCTAAATTTACATAGACCCCAAAAGTAGAGCAAATCAATACAAATTCAATGACTACGGAAAATTCCTAATTCCTAAGCTTTTGGTTAGGTATTGTGGAACTTCCCAGTTTGGACCCCCATACAGACTGCAACATGCATCGACAATTTATAGTCAGCATATGTGAATTTAGGCTTGGGTTGTGGAGAGTCTCTGGCAGGGGAAGAGCCGAAATGTCAGCACAGGACACACTGTTGGGGCACACTTTCTCTACAATTCCCTTATGAATACTCCACCAACCACCCACCCCCCCAAAGATGCTTCATTCATCTGGATTAGTTTCTTGACCCAAGGCCCAACGGCCACAATGGAAATTTGGGACGATATTTATTTGCGAATGGGTCCAATCAACACGCCCAATTTGAAATTGAGCCCAAATGTGCCGGACAAATAATATCGAGAAGCCAATTTACTGATTTGCCCCTCACACAATAATGTCGCGTTGCGATTCCATCACCGCCCAACTACCATTCCAAAAACGCCATATAAATATAAATCAAAGCCTATATTTGTCATTTCCAGCACTCGCCACCTATAACGCATCCGCCAAAGCATCCACGTGTCTCCCTATTACCACAAAGAAACACAAGGAAACACAGCGAAACGAATCCCAACCAATGGATCGACAGCACAGGGATCGCTGAGGTGGCAAATCATTTTTCAAAATCCCGCCTAAACCCGGACTTCAATTTTTCCGTGAAACGAAATTTAATTTCCGCCTTTTTATTTTTATTTTTGCGCCACTAGCCCCTACCCCTTCTTATCTCTTCACACACACCTGTGCCAAAATTTACACACGCACCGCACCAAACAAAGCAAAGCCCCCCAAAGCCAAAGGGCATCATATATCTCAATACTCTATTCTCCTCGCTTTCTCTCTGCGTCTTCGCCTTATCTTCTTCTCAAGCCCTAGCCCCCCTGCCCAAAGGTAAACTCGTACGCTTTCGGCACCGACTCGGACCGAGTCACCTCGGCCCTCGCCGTTCTCGAACGATTCTCATCGTTTTTTGCTGTTTTCTCTGCAGGTTCGCCTGAAAATGGGGAAATCCAGAGCTGCTGCTCCTAAAAGAACCGAGACCAAGTGAGTTTCGATTTTCGTTTTCTTGTGAATATTCTGCGATTCGATCAGAGATCTCAATTTCGTACGTCAATTTTGCTCTTATTTTTGTGCTTATGTGCTCAATTTTGTTGTTTGTTGAATTTGCTAGGTTAAAGACCAAAAGTGCTGGAGCGAGTAAGAGGACATCGAAGAAGGCTGGAAAGGATCCAAACAAGCCAAAGAGACCTGCGAGCGCCTTCTTCGTTTTCATGTACGGTCAACGCTTTTCTCTCGAATTTTCGTTTTTAGATCGGTCGTCTCGTTTATTTTCTCTGAATTTTCGTCTTGTTTTGAATTATCTATAGGGAGGATTTCCGAGAGAAGTACAAGAAGGAACATCCTAACAACAAATCTGTCGCTGCTGTAAGTGAATTTCATTCTTTTAGATCTACGGGTTTGATTTCATCCATACTGAATTTTCTGTTAAATTGACAATGTAATTTTTATTTATATCCATTTTTCTGTCGCTTTATTGGAACAGGTCGGAAAGGCTGGTGGTGACAAATGGAAATCTTTGTCAGATGCTGTGAGTTTTTTGTCCAATCATTTTGTTTTTCCTGATTGTTTTGTTAATTATTTGAATATTCTGCGACTGTTTGTTGATTGGCTCCTTAATTTTAAAAATTATTCAGGAGAAAGCTCCCTACGTAGCCAAGGCAGAGAAGAGGAAGACTGAATATAACAAGACCATGCAGGCCTACAACAAGAGTATTGTGAGTGCTCTTCTCTTCAATTTCTGGCAATTGAGTTGTTATAATTTGAGCAATTTGTTGAGAATTGGTGCTTCATTTGAAATAGGCTGAGGGAGGCAATGGGGCAGAGGAGGAAGAATCTGATAAGTCCAAGTCTGAGGTGAATAACGAAGAAGAAGAAGATGATGAGAGTGCAGAGGTTTGCCCTCCCTTTCATTATTCTGATAATCAAGCTTTCTCTGTTCATTTTGATATTTGATTAATTTTTGATTGGTGGGATTAATTTTTTCTGTTTGGGTTTTATCTTAGGATGAAGATGATGACGAGTAGAGAAGGAACGCTGGAAGGAGAAGCAATTGGTGTAGGATTGCTTAGAAGATATTGAATGACCTGCATTTTCTGAATTCTAGCTGTCTCATGATAAAATAGCTACATTTTTAGGATAGGGAAGGAAAAAGAGAAAGGAAAAAACAACCAAGGGGTTAAGTTTCAGGGGGTCTTGTAAACCTGATTTCCCATATCATCTGTACTTAATTAATGATCCTTTTTATGTCCAAATGCTTTCTATTTTGCGATATAATGCCCCTTCTTTGAATTGCTTTTTGCATATTTTGGTTTGGTGGTGGCTGAGCCCCATGCTTGTCTAGTATTCATTGTGGTTGATAGAGTTGACAAACATATCTTGCCTTCCAATGACTTGGGAGTGGAAATTTTGTCTGCTTTTGAGCTTTGGATTTTGTATCATTCTCTTCATTGCTCTATCTTGGTTTATGAGATGATGATGATGATGGCTTGACTTGAATCTAATGGTCTCGTTTGACTTTTTCATCCTGGAACCAGTAGGATTCATTTGTGGTTTCTCTGTTGGACCATCCTGTCAGTATTTTGCACAACTTGATTGTCAACTCTTCAACTTTACAAATGATTCTCATTTTGATGAGAAATACTTCCCTGGCTCTGTTGTATTGTCCCGTTGAACTCTCCTCTTTTAATGAGTTACATGAGAGTAGAGAGGTAAGAAGAAGGGGATGATGCAATAGTAAAAACAAATGTTTGGCACAATCGTTCTTCCAGTTTCTTCCCTCACTACGTCTGTATTTTATCCGAGTTGTGGTAGTAGGAGATAAGGAAGCTGCTCCGAGTTGGGAGACATTGGTGACCCTGCGTTCGCTGGTGAATTATGTTATGTGTGTGTTTGTTTTTACATTGAAAGAGGTCACAAGTTTTGTTTCTCCTTTGTCGATCGAAATAGATGTTTGTCTTTTATCGATCGACATAGACGTTTATCTTGTATCGATCGACATATAGATAATGGACTCAATTAAGGCACCAAATTTAGAGATACAGGAATTTACCAGAGAATTTGCTTTAAAGTGGTACTGTCTCCTTGCTTGATATTTACCAACTACTTTGATTGGTGTGTACCACCAACGGCTTCTAAGCCATCCACGGGATTTAGTAGCCGCTGTGTAGTAATCTCTTTTTGCATTTCTATCTAGTCCTGTTTTAGGGTCGCGCTGGTTTTTGTAGCCTCTTAGTGGTGTGCCTTTGGGGGCCCTATTGCTTCATAGTGTTCTTTGTTCCTGGCTGTGTACTTTGTTTCTTCGTTAATAAAATCGTTTATCTTCAACCCAAAAAAAAATAAAAAAAAAGGGCTTCTAAGCCATTTCAGATTTTCATTCTCTTGCTCTGGGTTTTACTTCAGTTGCTTCTCTGCAACTCGATCGGATTCAAAGCCCAAGTCCACAGTTCCATGCGATTGGGTGGCCCTTGTTTGACTAGGGTCCATTTCTCAACAGCCCATTTTGAAATATCTCAACTTTTCTTTTTGGTCAAATCCAATCAGAAATATCTCAAGAGTTGAAATATCAGGCATAGAGTTTTACCTATTTGCCCCCAACACAATAATATCCCGCACTAATACAGCTGTTGCGTACTACACGTTTTATTCTAGCGATTCGATCAGTCTCAACCACCAGACCATAAGTCCTCAAGGGCCAAAATATCAAACCCCAAATTCGTCATTTCACAAATAACCCCGCACGTGCCACCCCTGCCATATGCGCCCGAACGTCCACGTGTCCTCCGAGCTTGCGAAGAAACACACAAGGAAACACAAAGCGAAAGGCCAACAGCAAATGGAGAGAGGGCGCACGGATAGCTGACGCGGCAAAACATTTTTGAAATCCCGCCTAAACCCAAACTTCAATTTTTTTTCGTTAGTCGAAATTCAATTTTGCCCCTTCTTATTTTTTTTAGGCTGCACGAGGCCCCTCTTCTTATCCCTCTCACTCCTCTCGCAAATTTCACACACGCACCGCACCAAACAAAGCGCATTCTCTCTTTCTTTCTGCGTCTTCGTCTTATCTTCGAAAACCCTAGCCTTCCACCAAAGGTAAACTCGGTCCCCTTGCGGCACTGACTCGGTCCGAGTCGCTTCGTTTTTCATCGTTCTGGAACGATTCTCACCGAGTTTTGGCTTTTTCTATGCAGGTTCGTTCGCCATGGGTAAAGCCAGAGCAGCTGCTCCCAAACGAACCGATACGAAGTGAGTTTCTGCTTATCTCGTTGTATATACGCTGCGATTGTATCGGTTAGATCGGAGATCTGCGACTGTTTGGCTACTTTGATATCTGTTGTGCTTATGGATTTTGAAATTTTGCTTGTGGTTGAAATTTTCAGGTTGAAGAGTAAGAGTGCTGGGGCAAGCAAGAAGCCAGCGAAGAAAGCTGGAAAGGATCCAAACAAGCCTAAGAGGCCCGCTAGTGCTTTCTTCGTTTTCATGTACGGTCAACTCATTTTCTCTCTCTTGGCTTAAGTTTGAGATCTGACTTTTTCTTCGTTTTACTTGTTCTTAATCTTAATTTCCTGATTTTTTTCACTTTTATTTGTGTTATATATAGGGAGGACTTCAGAGAGAAGTACAAGAAAGAGCATCCAAACAACAAATCGGTTGCCGCTGTAAGTTCATCTCAACTTCTCAGATCTATTCATATACTTTTCGCATCACCATGATTTTGTCATAAATTGATAAGAATATAATTTTACATGAATTAATTTTGTTTTTGTATTGAAATCAAACAGGTCGGTAAAGCTGGAGGTGATAAATGGAAGTCTTTGTCAGAAGCTGTGAGTGTTTGGTTACATGTTTATGGTCATTGATTTGTTAATTGCATAGTCTTTTGTTTATTCTGTTGAAGTTTATTAATCGTTTTCGTTTGTGTACAAATTGATTTTACAGGAAAAGGCTCCCTATGTAGCCAAGGCAGAGAAGAGGAAGGTTGAATACAACAAGAACATTCAGGCCTACAACAAGAGATTAGTGAGTGCTTGTTTTACAGTTCTTGTGGTTTCGATTCTATAGTTCAATTATGTTGAGGATTTTGTGAGAATAATTGTGGCTTAATTTGGGTGAAATAGGCTGAGGGCACAAATGGAGCTGATGAGGAAGAGTCTGACAAGTCCAAGTCTGAAGTGAATGATGATGATGAAGACGAGGACGAGAGCGGAGAGGTCAGTTGTGACTCAGCTTAAGTTAATTAAGTAGTCTTTGTTTCTTAATTGTGATTATGTGAGTTAATTATATGAATGTATTGTGTTATAGGAGGAAGATGATGATGAGTAGATTGAAGGGGTAACAGGAAGTGTGGAGGAGAAGAAGCAATATTGTGTAGGATTGCTTAGAAGATGTTGATTGACCTACATTTCTGATTTTCGCTGCTCTTTGTCTCTCATGGATAAATAGCTCTCTACCTTGTTTTAGGATTTAGATTAGGAAAAACAAAAAGACCCTAAAAGGGATTAAGTTTCAGGGATTCTTCTACCTGACTGATTCCCATATCGTTCTGTACTTAATGATCCTTATTATGTTCAATTATTCAGTCTGCTTTTTATCATATGGTGCCTTTCATTGAGTTTGCTTTCTGCATTTGAATGGTTCCCTTGGTTGGATCAAATATTGCTTGGTCTTCTCTTACCCATGACCCATTGTTGCATCTTGTTTTATCTGATGTGATCATATAAAAGGTTTGACTTTACAATGAGGCTAGTGTTTTGACTTGCCTTTTGCATGTTGGAACAATTGGTTGATAGATTCTGTGTCAGTGTAGTTTTAGCATGTACCAGGATTGTCAAACTCCTTATGCTTAGGGGGTTGTTCTGTGTCTTCGGTATTTTGGTATTTTTACTGCAATTGGGGGTTGGAAATTGCTAACGTGTTTTGGATATATACTGCTACAATGTGGGGGAGTTGAATCTGCAATTTGCGGTGCATTTCAGATGTTATGTAGCTTGCGATTTCTAGGAGACTTTGCAATAGATTTCATAGAGGGTTTCTAGCTTTTTGGCTGAATATAGCTTTCGTACTTGTATTTGAGCCGTAAAATTTGACTTATATTGAGTATCTCTGCGATGTTTTGTGATTTCGTCCAATTTCAAAATGGTGCACAAAATATAATGTAGTTTCCGAGTTGATACATGCTGTGGATATATTGAAAGTAAAAACATGAGCTTTTGTTTAGCTAAATAGAAGAAGACATGGGTAGAGTGTAAAACGGCAAATGGCTTCATTGCGTTTTGACTTTTATTTAAATCATTAAAAACAGGGTAAAAATCACGATTCCATCTGTACCCGACATGAAAATATAATAATAATTAAGGCTCCAAGAATCAAGATGCTTTTGAAATACTGAAGAATTTAATTCTTATCCTGAAATAATTAACAGATCTTGCGACCTTTATATCAAATCAAAGCACTTAAAAATTGAATGTTTTAATCTGGATTTTTTTCCATTGTTATAATGTTATGTTTTCTTTTTCTTTAGTGCAAAGCAACTTAATTATTTATAATTAACAATTATAATAATGGGCAACCAAATGACTTTCCAAGTCTCCTACTTACTTACCGGAGCCCTAGAGCCCAAGCAGTGAAGAAATCAACCGCGTAGTCTATCTTTCATTACGACCTGTCGTTCTCATAATGAATTTGCTTAGCTCTGTATATTTTCGACTAGGTGTGTCGTTTACAGTTTGTCGTGTTGGGTAAAAGCGAGAGAGAGAGAGATGGCAGTTCCCGGAAAATGCTTGCTGGTGACGGGACCTCCTGTAAGTTTCGAATTCTATCTCTCTACACTTTCAATATTAATTTCCAGCCATTCTTCGTTTCAGAATTCGTATTGCCTTCTGTTCAATTTTTTCTCTCAATCTGCTTTCCTCTTTATGCTGATGCACAGGGTGTGGGAAAAAGCACTCTAATTATGAGAGTGTTTGAGACCCTGAGGGCCTCAAATCCCAACTTAAAAATTCAGGGTTTCTACACAAGTAAGTTTTCAAATTAAATTGTTTTGGTTGGGTTATGTTTTCTTATATAATAGATTGATGTAATTGTTTTCGAATTTGTACTTGTAAATTCTGTAGGTGAAGTTAGACGAGGAAGTGAGAGAGTTGGGTTCCAAGTGGTTACATTAGATGGCCGCACAGCTCCTCTGGCCTCCACCATTTCCAGGTCTTGTTGCCTCCTTTTCCTCTTTTCATCCAATCTCAATGACTCCTGTTCTTTGTTGCATTGCTTAGGCAGTTTCTCAAACTCCATAATCCATTGCTAAGAATGCTATGTCATATTAATCATTCATTTCACTTGCATCCTATTCCACCAGCTATATAACAAGTAAAGCCTAAAGCATGTGTTTTTTCTTTAATGTCAGCCCAGAGTCTTTCAGGTGGCCCAATGTGGGGAAGTACAAAGTAAATGTTGCTTCATTTGAGTCACTGGCACTGCCTGAACTACAGGTGAGGTGGTTTTTCCACTGCTTACTGTTCAACTCATACCACCCCTTTACACAATTTAATCTATGTTTTGGCCTTTTTGGTTGTGGATTTCGTTATATTCTTTCAGGGTTAGACTATGGGATTTGAGTCATTTTTGCATCCTTTTCCCGATTGCTTATCAGGTGAAAGAAGATACTGATCTATTCATCATTGATGAAGTTGGAAAGATGGAGTTGTACAGTTCATCTTTCTTCCCTGCTGTTTTGAAGGTTCTGGAATCCAATATCCCACTTTTGGCCTCAATCCCAATTCCCAAATTTGGACGAGATATTCCAGGAGGTACATTTTCCTCATTCTTTCTCACTATGGTGTTTTGATTACTTGATTTGTCAGCTGTCACACATTTTCTCTAAGTTTGATTTCTTTCTTCACAGACTTCTAATCACAATTCAAATATTTCTTAAAGTAAATTTTGGGTAGAGTTTTTTGGTTGGTGTGTTTTTGTTATTTTGGCTTGTTCTATGGAGTTGCAGTTGTGACTGAATAATGTGGAGTTGGTGTTAGCATTCTGCCATCCTGCTTTTGAGCTGAATCTGTATATGACTAGGGTATCTGATCTTCTGCAGTTGCACGGTTAAAGAATCATCCAGGTGCAACGATTTTCACACTGAGCCCGAGTAACCGGGATGCTGTTAAAGAAGAGATATACCTCCAACTGGTAGACTTATTGAGTAAACAATAGATGTTGGACAATCAATGTGGTCCTTGTTGTGAACAATATTTTATCAGCTGCTCCATACTCAAAAGTTATGACTTGAAGGAGCTTTGATGTACTCAATAGGCTTTAACAAATTATAAAAACTAAATAGTGTATTTTTTATTTCTCAATTTCAGCATTATCTTATTTTAGTTTGCTTGTAACCTGTAGAGAGAGAGAGAGAGAGAGAGAGAGAGAGAGAGAGAGAGAGAGAGAGAGAGAGAGAGAGATGTTAGGTTAATCCTCAAGAGACAAAGGAGAGGACAAACAATTCCAATCATGTAACTTTTCTTTCCTGATTATATATGCAAAAGTTTGTTATTTTTATACATTCAATATATGCAAAAGAATTAAAGAAAACTGTGTCAAAAACAAACAAGATGGATGTTAAAGCCAAAAACAAATAAAATTAATACGAAGATATATTTTAATTTGATTGCTGAAGACAATAAGCTCAACGGGGTCATGAGCCTCGCCTATCCTGTTCAGTTCGCAGCAGTTCATTTGCCAAGGATGAGAATGATTGAGCTGTGTCTTGCATCTCTGTAGTCCTCAGGTTGATTCCCTGCTCATTTCAACAAAAATATGGTTTGATTAATTTAACATAAAGCAATTTCATTCTGGCACTTTGAAAAAATAATCTATGAATAAAAGGGTCCATTTCATCACTGCCAAATTCCTACAACTTATTTATCTGGGATGCTAAAAAGGTATACCTGCAACTTTTTCATGTTCTCCTGCAGCTTGCTTTCTGCCATTTTAGCAATATTTGCTTCCTGCAGCCAGAGGCACATGAAATGATGTTGTTGACAGCATTTTAAAAAGGTTTAATATCTAAGTAAATAAGTTGTTCATCTTCTGAAAGTTAAAGAAGGATGTGTGCTTACATTTGACGAGAATCCATATCTCCTCTTAATTTGGTCAACTTGACCAACCTTCCCATCCTGTTGCTCTTCTTTGGTGGAGTTTTTCTCAGTCTTGGACTTCATTTGTTTCAGCACTTTACCTGTAGATTGGAAAGTTTTATCAGGCAAGACACTGCCCAGGCAGACCTGATTGATAAATTCATGCCATGTAAGTGTTGTACTGACCTTTAAAGGCCATAAATTTGCTTGCCAACTTTTCCTTGTTAAGAGCTGCCAACATATTCTGCTCTTTTGGTTTTTCTCCAGGAATGTCCATGTCCATGTCGATGTCAATGTCATCTTTAAGCAAAAAAAATTCATACAAAATGGCTCATCTCAAAACTCCATGCAGATTGAAATGATATATAAATAACTTTCTCGAAATTTTAATGATCACTTAGGATGTTATACGATATCAGTAAATTTATATGCATACCTAGGTCTAGCTCATCTTCATCCCTGGCCTGCTCATCTGTGTTTTCAACATCAACTGTAAAGTTAGCAGTTGAAAAGATCGTAGAAAGTTCTTCGAAACTTTCTTTAGTATCTTCAGTTTCAATCTCAGGGACATTCTTCGCTTTGCTTCCCACAATATCTTTAATGACAGAGCTGAATATACCCTAGCAAGAAAATAACATATTTGAAACCTTTCATTCCACAAGAAATAGGTTGTAGACAGAGTTAGTAATATATCATTTCCCCATCTACCTTTTTCTTTTCCTTTTGTATGGTCCGTCCAGGAATGAGATCTTCTTGTGGAATTATCAAATCTTTCTGGTAAGTCGAGTTGAAAGAGTCTAAAAGCCTTGTATGAGGAAAGAAAAACACAAGAAATTATGACCTAGAAGAATTTCCATTATAATAGAAATTATGAAGAAACAAATGTACAAAGAATTTTCAAGGATATGTATACCTGAAGCTTTTATTGTGGAGTGAAAGAGAGAAGAAAAATATTTCCTGATCACCATTCACCTGTGCAAGGATGAAGTAGAGCAAATGATGAGGATTTTCTCAAGATCGTACCTTATGCGACTGATATGAAAAGCTTGAATTACACTTACCATAACAAGTTCTCCTTCACACGAAGAGCATATCAAACTGTCAGAAAATGAATTTGGTTTTGGAGTGGAGTATGTGAAGCCCCTTATTGAAGTCTCCTTTATTAAGGATAACTCCGGCAAGGACCTAGCATTGCATAATATCACTTAACACTCAGAAATTTGAATAACACACATGAATAACTAGAACATCTCAAAATTCTGATTTGAGATCACATTCAATGCATGCCTATTTTTTCCTGTTACCCCAAATGATGAAATTTGGAGCTACAAGATGATTGGAAAATAGACAATGAGAAGTTACTACCTTATCTCAACTTTTCCACTTGTGAAAAGGAGTATAAGGCCAACATCAGAGGAGGTGTAGAATGTCGAAGCCCAGCAACAAGATGCTTGGAATTTCTTCTTGTAGATTACCTTCTTAACTCCCTGACATAAAAGAAAGAACAACAAAACTATAGAATCAGATAAAATTCTTTTGAATTCATAGTTCGTACACAAGATGAAACACTTTACCTGCATGACATGAGTGAAAGAATATACGTACGCAGCTTTTCAGAACATAGAAGGAGTAAAGACTGCTTTGGCACGCCGTCCTCAACAGGGCTCCCATTGCTCAAGTCAAGACCGTTTAATAAGTTTAATCTTTTAACATCCTGCCCATCTGTGTAACATTTTTAAAGAAAATAAACACACAAATCACATAATTTGATCCTTAAAATGGAGCAGTATATGGGAACATTTCAACCAAAAAAAAAGTGGGAACCTGAAGAGACCAGAACTTACCCAAGATCTGCATGAAAAGTGCTCGAGTGGGTTTTTTGGGATGAACCAAACTAGTACTCAATGTGTTTCCATTATCACTATCAAGAGCCAAAACAGATGAATCCTCTGTTGCAACTGCTAAGACATTCTTGTCAAAACCATGAAAACTGCAGGGTTTGGAAATGCAGAGAGATGATGCCGGTGGAGATTTCACTTGCAATATGTTTTGGTATAATACAGTTGGCCCTTCTATATCAAGAACTGAAACCTGTGAGGAAAACAAGCTCAAGTGTAAGAATAGAATGGAAAGAGGACAAGAAATCGAGAATGGTTAAAGGCAAAGAGAGAAGATCAAAAAGTAGTTATTAGATAGTAAGTAAGCTTACATATCCTTGACTAGACCCAACAGCAAGATGTCCTGTGCTGTGGTTTATGTTCACAGAAAGTACAGAACCATTAACCTTCAAGAGTTTAACGCTTTGAATGATGTGATCGTTTCCTTTTTCGTACTTCCTGCCATAAGTATGTGAAACTCATAAGGCCCTTTGTAATGTACTTCATTGTGGTAAAAACGTGAAGCAGATTGCTAGTTATACGGCAATGGCCTGATAGTTGAATCATGTGCTAAATCATACCTTGAAGAGACAAGAAACTGCTCACATTGGCATATGGTTCAGGTTTCAATCTAAAGATTCGAACCTGTAAATCACATATACATTAAATGCACCACATATTTTCCTCAAAGCAATTAAATTGAGCATAATTCACCCAATCCGTTCACCATTGTACTTACCATTCCACTCTGATCTCCAGAAACAAGAAGCCGAGAGTTCTCATTGAAAAACAAGGCTGTGACTGGTATACCACTTAAAGAAAGATCATCCTCACTCTGCATTTTGTTTGGGGGTGTGTGGAGGAGAATAAATAAGCACAATAGTAAAGAATTATCTAATATTCTCCACTAATCTGCAAATAAGCTCAAAATGCTTTAGTGATATCAAATGAAATGTTTACCTGTTGCTTTAATGATAGTATTGGTACTAAAAGTGGACATGACAAATCCCAAAAGTTCAGGGCTCCATCATTGTGTCCAGTTATGTACAGATTTTTTACTTTCAAAAATCCAGTGAAGCGGGCTGCATTTAAATGAGTTCCATCTTTTGGTTTTGTCTCAAAAGAAAAGAGAGATGGAATGCTTTTCGCCAGGAGAAGGCAGTCCTATGTAATCAAGAATACCACATCACGAACAGTAAAAACTAATACTAAAATCTTAAATGAAAAGATGTAGTTTTGGTATGAAACATTCAATGGTCACATTACCTCATCTGCAAAACTTAACATTTGGGTATTATCTGTGATAATTTTGCCACTGTAATGTTTGAATCAACAAACGGTATCTTCACCATGACCTCCTTTGGCAATGATGGTGAAGACTTTGATTGGCTTTGTAGAAGATACTTTTCGATCAAACAATCATCATAGGCATAAAGATTTCCTGAATTACCAAGCAAAAGAAAGCAATCTTGTTTATGTTTGCTTTGCTCACTTAAGCTTGAAACAATCTCCATGTCGATACAAGGCTCGGGCAACTGAAGCCCTAATTTAATAGTGCGACCTTCTGTATGTTCATTCAACAAGATTACCTGCCTCATCAAAACCAAATTTTCTCACTTGCACTCGGTTGGGATTGTGATTAAGAACCAAAAAACAAAATGAGAAATGCTTCAATAGCACATGTTAATAATGATATGTACCTGCAACAAGTTTGAAGAGATGGTGTCAGACCCCCCCATAACATATAGTCTACTTGCCTTCCCATCTGCATAAACCCATCTCAATGATGCTATAGGAATTTTGTCCAACTTATAACCAACATTCAGTTTAAGATCGGAGTACTTTGCGTACTAGGCTCTGATGGTAATTCAGTTCTTGTTGAAACACTCCAGATGAAAATATCTCCATTGCTGTACCCAACAGCAACTTTACTCCCAAAGGGGCATGCCCAGCATGCAGAAGTCACTTTTTTCCCTTCATGATGAAGTGATTGCAATGCATTTCCACCTGCTGTGAATACGGTTTTGCTTTCTCGAATATCCCATAAGGATATGATACCATCTATAAAATTATAAGAACTCTGCATTGAAACATATGACTTAAGAATTGGTAAAACTGAGAGGTTGCATTGAGGAAGGCAGAGAGAGAGAGAGAGAGGCAGTAAATTTTGGTGAGACTACCTCTTACTTTCAGCTGCTGGTTGAGGCAGTACATGTACCACAGAAGTATCACCAGTTTCTTCAGTTGGATTCCCTGATCAGATGATAAAATCAAGTTGGAAAGTAAAGAAAATGCTTATAAACCCCCAACATTTCAAAGCAAATGGTGAGGGCATAATCTATCCTCTGAGTGTAAAAGGTGAAGAGGAATGCATCTAACCATGAGAAGCTGAATAAGGTATAGTATACTTCATTTGTACTATATGTTCTTGCTCAAGCTTCAAAACTCTAACATTACCAGCAGAATTTCCAACATACCTGCCATCATACATTTGTCCAATACATAAACTTACTTGAAACGAACGAACCACATTTCGATTCATCTACTTAATCCCCAACATTGGAAGCTGAAACAAACTTACATGTAGAGACTATGTTGCATGACAGTGAAAGAAGTAATATCTTCTTCAAAAGCATGCACATCAGCTAACAGGTTCTTTTCTATATCCCAAATCTAAGGACAACAACATTCCTTTTGTTAAAAACTAAGCCATGCACTCATCAAACATTGGGAAAATCTCAGAGATTATAAGCATAGTCGATCAAACTTGCCTCAATATGGGTTCTTGGAATTCACATTTACAAGTATGCCTTGGTTCTCCACAAACTGAACACAAATATCACCAAATAATATTACATGAAAATTACCACACACAAACAAAAACAGCTGGAAATTGAAGAAAGTACACATGATATTTTATACAGAACCTGTAAAAACTTGCTTGGTACTGCATTGACAGACTCAAGCAGAGCTTGAGTGTTATCTTTGCCAAATAATTTAATTCTGCCATCCCTGAGAGTGACAAGATAAAAATGAACACTAAAAATTGGACATAACATGAAAACCAATGAGGCTATTTTGGTGCAAGAAATAAATTATGAGAACTCACTTGGACGAAACTGCAAGTATTTTTTGAATGGGATCATAAGCCAACATGTTACACCCCGATGGGATCCCATAATGAAATAATAGACGTGGGTCTATATCACCGCCTTTGAGACCATCGGAATTTCCACCAGGCTACAAATTAAATTGAAAAAAATGTATGTAAATTCTAAAATTGCCTTTAAAAATTAAAACCCAATAATAATAATAATTTAAAATAAAAAAAATAGTTTACAACTGCATTAGTAAAGTGAAGTTTGACCACAGGAGAAAAAAAAAAAAAAAAAAAAAAAAAAAAAAAAAAAAAAAAAAAAAAAAAAAAAAAAAAAAAAAAAAAAAAAAAAAAAAAAAAAAAAAAAAAAAAAAAAAAAAAAAAAAAAAAAAAAAAAAAAAAAAAAAAAAAAAAAAAAAAAAAAAAAAAAAAAAAAAAAAAAAAAAAAAAAAAAAAAAAAAAAAAAAAAAAAAAAAAAAAAAAAAAAAAAAAAAAAAAAAAAAAAAAAAAAAAAAAAAAAAAAAAAAAAAAAAAAAAAAAAAAAAAAAAAAAAAAAAAAAAAAAAAAAAAAAAAAAAAAAAAAAAAAAAAAAAAAAAAAAAAAAAAAAAAAAAAAAAAAAAAAAAAAAAAAAAAAAAAAAAAAAAAAAAAAAAAAAAAAAAAAAAAAATATGGCCTTAGGAAGAAGACTAGGTTGAAGGGTCATGTAAAGTGCTACACATGTGGTGCTGTTGGACACATTTGACAGGACCCGCCCCGAATTTCCCGGAACCCGAGACGAACCCTGCGGAGACCCCGGCATCACACCCACGCAGGGTTCACTCCTTAAAACTATGTCCTCTTTTACCAGAGAGGATTTAGGGCACGTGACTTTCTGCCAAAATTTCGGCAGAGTCTCCCCTGTAAATTGAACATTCCCCAAAATTTCCACATGCATAAAACACATTTTATAACCCAACCAGCAGCACGCACAATATAATCTCATGCAATTTACATAAATGGCTTCCGGCCTTCAAATGATTCTAGCAGAACTGCCCACACTGTTTTTAAAATAACTTAATGCATCAAACATGCACATAACCAATTCAAAATCTATCTATGCACACCTTCGCTCACTCAATCTACCAGACAAGCCGCAATTCAACCAAGTTTCGGGACCAACCACGAGGTCCACATCATACTCGATAAAACCACCTAAGTGGTGTCTAGGCCGTGGCTGCACCTAGGCGCTATCCCAGGCTGCCTACGTACCCTACTAAGGGATCAAGCCACACGTAGCTCTTTCGTATCAATCATGGCTCCTAATATCAATAAACCATTACATCCATATAAATTCATACATTCTAGGGTTTATCCATCACAACACACCAAACACAATCACATAGCTCCCCTCATACGACGGGACGCACCCGGCCTCGTATGGGGTCTGTCTACACGCCGGCTAATCCAAAGACTCGTGCGACCTCAACCCTGGGCCTGGCTACATTCTCACCAGCCCTCACACAATCACATCTCCCCTCATACGTCGGGACGCACCCGGCCACGTATGGGGTCTGTCTACACGCCGGCTAATCCAAAGACGCGTGCGACCTCAACCCTGGGCCTGGCTACATTCTCACCAGCCCTCACACAATCACATCTCCCCTCATACGTCGGGACGCACCCGGCCACGTATGGGGTCTGTCAACACGCCGGCTAATCCAAAGACGCGTGCGATCTCACACTAGGCCTGGCTACATTCTCACCAGCCCTCACACAATCACATCTCCCCTCATACGTCGGGACGCACCCGGCCACGTATGGGGTCTGTCAACATGCCGGCTAATCCAAAGACGCGTGCGACCACACACTGGGCCTGGCTACATTCTCACCAGCCCTCACACAATCATATCTCCCCTCATACGTCGGGACGCACCCGGCCACGTATGGGGTCTGTCAACACGCCGACTAATCCAAAGACGCGTGCAACCTCACACTGGGCCTGGCTACATTCTCACCAGCCCTCACACTGTCACTTGGGCCTGGCTACATTCTCACCAGCCATCATATTGTTCACTTGGGCCTGGCTACATTCTCATCAGCCATCATATTGTCACTTCTCCCCTCATACGTCGGGATGCACCCGGCCACGTATGGGGTCTGTCAACATCCGAGGAGATACATAGGGTAGTGCATATAGCACTGCAAACTAACATTTAATTATAAAATCCATACATAATTTTTATACATTAATTTCTCATAATATAAACACCTTAATAAACAACTAGCATCCGATAATCCCCCATAATCCCCATAACATCAGGACCTGTCACCACGGTCATTTTAATCTTCCTAGGAATGTAATACTACCTAGGAAGTTCCACGGACAAACCAGGGTCAAACTACCAACCTTGGTCTAACGGGCCGCGGGGCCCACGACCTCCAATTTCCGATCCGAAAGTTCCTATAGGTTCTACAAGCTCTAGGATGCACGTCCTGCAAGTTTGGTCCAGATCGGACGGTCGGATTGCTCACGATCGCACGACCGGACGGTTACTAAAACCCTAACCCCAGGGTTGGCATTTCCGGAGTATCCGGGACTCCGTTTTACGATCCGTCGAATCCTACACGATCCTGGTAATACTTAGATCAACATATTATAACTTCAGGACCATCCAACGGTCCAAACCTAGCGAACCCGGAAAATACGCGATATGCGATATCCGTTCGGGACTCTAACGATATCCAAATTGAGATCCGAGCACACCTACGCGCTCATGACAACCTGAGGATCCCATTGGGACAAAAATGCCCCTCGACTACAGTGCCCACGCGCCGGTAGCGCGTGGGTGTCCAAAGCGATAACCCATCGCCGGAAAAACCACAAATCACGGCTCAAGACTCCTACCCTAGGTAAAATACAATATTTGGAGTCACTTTTGTTCTTGGACATACCCCAAAAACTGACCGGAAGTGGCCGGAATCGCTAACTCAAAACCGGCCGAACCCTAACTCAAAAATCAGAAAATCTAGGCTCAAAATTAACGAAATCCTACCCATCCATCAGCTAGATCATGAGGAAAGGATAGATTTCCATACCTGGATCGCCAAAAATGGCGGCCGGACGACGGAGAACGAAGCCGGTGAAGTTTCGGGCGAAACCGAGCTTTTCTCTTCGATTTTCCGGTGAAATCTCGACGGTTGGCGGCGGGACCTGGCTGGGGTAGGAAGAGGACGGCGGCCCGGTCATTTTGGTACCGGCCCCGTCGACTTTGGTGACCGGACAAGAGCACGGCCGGCCAAAACGTGGCCGGCTGTTTCAGCCGTCGCGAACCAGAGGAGAGAGAGAGAGACGCGCGGGAGAGAGAGAGAGAGAGAGAGAGAGAGAGAGAGAGAGAGAGAGAGAAATGAGGGCAATTCCGTCTTTTTACACAAAATCCATTTCAAAATATTTACGGTTTTGCCACTGAGGGTATTTGGATCGTATCTCTCTCGTTACAACTCCGATTCGAGCCCACTACGTGTCTACGAACTCATCTCGCCGTGCTTTACGCAACGATACATCCGAAATTTCCAAATTCCTTCCGGGTAAGAAAATGACTAAAATACCCCTATCCCACGGGTAAATTCTTAATTTCGCTTAAATTAATTAAAATATGGGATAAATTTGGAGTCGGGGTGTTACACATTGATGTGGAATGTGCAAATAACCACATAAAAGAGTCTCAAGGGAGACAAGAGTCAATTAGTGTGTGATAGAGTCATAGTGATGTTTCTTCTAAGTATATCACTTCATCCGATGAATAGGCAAATTATTCTGCCCTTGCTGTTTCTGTTCATAACTCTAGCTTTGTTAGAATTCATGTAATTAATAAGAGATAATCTAATTCTAAAAATGAATTTGAATATGGTGATGATGGGCAGGATTACTAGTCATACCTGGGTCTATGTGAAAAGTATGAAGTACTTTTTACTAAAACTTCCAAGTTTAAGGAGAGAAATATCATTCTGGAAGAAAAGGTCAAAGACCTTGAAGAACTTTGTTGGGGTCTTTTTCCGTCGGAAGGCTAGTCCGAGCTTGTTGATTCTTGGACTGCCGTAGAGTAGTGAATCAAGCATTCGTTGCCCTTTTTTCAAGGTTAGTGAGAACTAGACCCAAAGCATCCCGAGGGAGAAGCAAGTCCCAGGAGAGTGCTTTGTTCTTCTTCCAGCGGCTACGTGTTTTATGCTGATGTTTCCAGCAGCTAGACAAAGAGTTGGAGATGGTGCTTTGATGTTACACATGCTTGGCATGAGAGTTTGCTTTAGTGAATCAAGATACTACTAGGCTTGGCATTAGAGGCTTGTGGCATGGGAGCTAAGAGAAAATGAGCATAAAGAAAGGATTAAGGCTTGAGATTTTGGGTGTTTTCGGCAGTTAGACGAAGAGCTTGCGATGTCTGCGTTTTCTTACCAAAAAAGTGATGACTATGGTTTCAACTTAGCTTGTGAGGATGGGTGTTTCAGATCTGGGATGAAGCTTTTTGAGAGAGAGAGAGAGAGAGAGAGAGAGAGAGAGAGAGAGAGAGAGAGAGAGAGAGAGAAAGAAAGAGATGAGGATGAATGGATGAGTGACTTGAGTAGATTTTATGAGGATGAATGTATGAGTGACTTGAGTAGATTTTTCAGTAGCTTGACGATTGCTTGGTCGTGATCTGGATGGTTGAAGATGACTTGTTGATGTTGAACATAGATTGTGTGAGCTTGGCATGAGAGCTTGGAGTGTGGGAGTTAAAGACCCACAAGTTTAGCAAATGAGAATGCATGTGATTGGCTTGGTGTTGGATATGCTTGAGTTTGGGTATTAAGAACTTGTTGTTTGTGGCTATGGCTATAGTGATTTAAGAGTTTCAAGGGAAGGATGATGGAAGAAAAAGCTTGAGGCTTGAAGGCTTTGGTGTTTATAGCTTAGAAGGGTTGAGGAGGAAGGAAAAGTTTGGAGTTATGCTTGGTGGGGCTTTATAGGGAAGATGGAGGATTTCAAGGCTAAGAAAGTAGAAGAAATGGTTGTGATAGCTGAGGAATGGCTGGAATGGCTGCTGTTATGCTTGTAGTAGTTGAAGGGAGGAATGAAGGTGGTCTGATGGTTGCTAGGGTGCTTAAGCAACCAAGAAATGTTGTTCACTACTTGTGTCATGACTTCTAATTTATAGAAGGCAAGGGCTTTCATTTATTTCCAATGGGTAAAAGAAGGTGATGAAACCATTCTATTTCCAGCATGTAAAAGGAAGCATTGGGACTGACAGGACCCGCCCCGAATTTCCCGAAACCCGAGACGAACCCTGCGGAGACCCCGGCATCACACCCACGCCGGGTTCACTCCTTAAAACTATGTCCTTTTTTACCAGAGAGGATTTAGGGCACGAGACTTTCTGCCAAAATTTCAGCAGAGTCTCCCATGTAAATTGAACATTCCCCAAAATTTCCACCTGCATAAAACACATTTTATAACCCAACCAGCAGCACGCACAATATAATCTCATGCAATTTACATAAATGGCCTCCGGCCTTCAAATGATTCTAGCAGAACTGCCCACACTGTTTTCAAAATAACTTAATGCATCAAACATGCACATAACCAATTCGAAATCTATCTATGCACACCTTCGCTCACTCAGTCCACCGGACAAGCCTCAATTCAACCAAGTTTCGGGACCAACCACGAGGTCCGCATCATACTCGATAAAACCACCTAAGTGGTGTCTAGGTCGTGGCTGCACCTAGGCGCTATCCCAGGCTGCCTACGTACCCTACTAAGGGATCAAGCCACACGTAGCTCTTTCCTATCAATCCTGACTCCTGATATCAAATAAACCATTACATCCATGCAAATTCATACATTCTAGGATTTCATCCATCTCAACACACCAAACACAATCATATCGCCCCTCATACGTCGGGACGCACCCAGCCACGTATGGGGTCTGTCAACACGCCGGCTAATCCAAAGACGCGTGCGACCTCACACTGGGGGCCTGGCTACATTCTCACCAGCCCTCACACAATCATATCTCCCCTCATACGTCGGGACGCACCCGGCCACATATGGGGTCTGTCAACACGCCGGCTAATCCAAAGACGCGTGCGACCTCACACTGGGGGCCTGGCTACATTCTCACCATCCCTCACACAATCATATCTCCCCTCATACGTCGGGACGCACCCGGCCACGTATGGGGTCTGTCAACACGCCGGCTAATCCAAAGACGCGTGCGACCTCACACTGGGGGCCTGGCTACATTCTCACCATCCCTCATACAATCATATCTCCCCTCATACGTCGGGACGCACCCGGCCACGTATGGGGTCTGTCAACACGCCGGCTAATCCAAAGACGCGTGCGACCTCACACTGGGCCCTCACCAGCCCTGGCCTGGCTACATTCTCACCAGCCATCACACAATCATATCTCCCCTCATACGTCGGGACGCACCCGGCCACGTATGGGGTCTGTCAACACGCCGGCTAATCCAAAGACGCGTGCGACCTCACACTAGGCCTGGCTACATTCTCACCAGCCATCACACAATCATATCTCCCCTCATACGTCGGGACGCACCCGGCCACGTATGGGGTCTGTCAACACGCCGGCTAATCCAAAGACGCGTGCGACCTCACTGGGGGCTTGGCTACATTCTCACCATCCCTCATACAATCATATCTCCCCTCATACGTCGGGACGCACCCGGCCACGTATGGGGTCTGTCAACACGCCGGCTAATCCAAAGACGCGTGCGACCTCACACTGGGGGCCTGGCTACATTCTCACCAGCCCTCACACAATCATATCTCCCATCATACGTCGAGACGCACCCGGCCATGTATGGGGTCTGTCAACACGCCGGCTAATCCAAAGACGCGTGCGACCTCACACTGGGGGCCTGGCTACATTCTCACCATCCCTCACACAATCATATCTCCCCTCATACGTCGGGACGCACCCGGCCACGTATGGCGTCTGTCAACACGCCGGCTAATCCAAAGACGCGTGCGACCTCACACTGGGGGCCTGGCTACATTCTCACCATCCCTCATACAATCATATCTCCCCTCATACGTCGGGACGCACCCGGCCACGTATGGGGTCTGTCAACACGCCGGCTAATCCAAAGACGCGTGCGACCTCACACTGGGCCTGGCTATATTCTCACCAGCCCTGGCCTGGCTACATTCTCACCAGCCATCAGACAATCATATCTCCCCTCATACGTCGGGACGCACCCGGCCACGTATGGGGTCTGTCAACACGCCGGCTAATCCAAAGACGCGTGCGACCTCACACTGGGGGCCTGGCTACATTCTCACCATCCCTCACACAATCATATCTCCCCTCATACGTCGGGACGCACCCGGCCACGTATGGGGTCTATCTACATAATCACAATATGGGGGGTACGTGGGGTAGTGCGTATAGCACTGTAAACTAACATTCAATCTCCTTATATATCATTATACATCCACACAATTAATTAAATATATCATATAATTTCTACTCATACAATAACATCAACCAATAAAGCATTCCATAAACTCCCACATTTAAATTCACCAATTTATATCCTAAACCCACAATATCCATTTAACTCAACAACGCTCAAGACCTGTCACTAAGGTCATCCTAACCCTCAAGGAAAGGTAAGACTATCTCGGGAGTCTCACGGTCAACCTAGGGTCAAACGGGCCTGCGGGGCCCACCACCTCCAAATTCCGATCCAAAACTTCCTATAGGTTCTACAGGCTCTAGGACACATGTCCTGGAAGTTTGGTCCAGATCGGACGGTCAGATCGCTCACGATCACACAATCGGACGGTTACTAAAACCCTAACCCCAGGGTTGGCATTTCTGGAGTATCCGGGACTCCGTTTTACGATCCGTCGAATCCTACACGATCCTGGTAATACTTAGATTAACATATTATAACTTCAGGACCATCCAACGGTCCAAACCTAGCGAACCCGGAAAATACGCGATATGCAATATCCGTTCGGGACTCTAACGATATCCAAATTGAGATCCGAGCACACCTACGCACTCATGACAACCTGAGGATCCCATTGGGACAAAAATGCCCCTCAGCTACAGTGCCCACGCGCCGGCAGCGCGTGGGTGTCCAAAGCGATAACCCATCGCCGGAAAAACCACAAATCACGGCTCAAGACTCCTACCCTAGGTAAAACACCTAATTTGGAGTCACTTTTGTTCTTGGACGTACTCCAAAAACTGACCGGAAGTGGCCGGAATCTCATCCCGAAATCTGACCGAAACCCAATTCATAAATCGAGTTGCCTACGCTACAAATCGATCAATTCCTACCCAACAGGCAGCTAGAGCTCGGAAAATAGGTGAGAAACCATACCTCATTTGCCGGAATCAGTGGCCAGGCGACGGAGAACGAAGCCGGCGAAGTTTCAGGCGAAACCGAGCTTTTCTCTTCGATTTTCCGGCGAAATCTCGACGGCTGGCGGCGGGACCTGGCCAGGGTAGGAAGAGGACGGCGGCCCGGTCATTTTGGTACCGGCCCCGTCGACTTTGGTGGCCGGACGAGAGCACGGCCGGCCAAAACGTGGCCGGCTGTTTCAGCCGTCGCGAACCAGAGGAGAGAGAGAGGGACGCGCGGGAGAGAGAGAGTGTGAGAGACGGGGGCAATTCCGTCTTTTTATCAAAAATCCGTTCTCCAAATATTTACGATCGTGCCACTGAGTTTCATTCGATCGTAACTCTCTCGTTACAACTCCGATTCAAGCTCACTACGTGTCTACGAACTCATCTCGCCGTGCTCTACGCAACGGTACATCCGAAATTCCCAAATTCCTTTCGGGTAAGAAAATGACTAAAATACCCCTATCCCACGGGTAAATTCTTAATTTCGCTCAAATTAATTAAAATAGGGGATAAATTTGGAGTCGGGGTGTTATAGGGACATTATTATTTCCAATAGGCAAAGCTAGGCATTGGAAAATGACTATTTCCTATGGGTAAAATGAGGTGTCGGAATTGGTTTGTTTCTAGAAGGTAATAGGGATTGCTTGAAGGGTATCTCATTTTACTTGGGGAAAAAAAAAAAAAAAAAAAAAAAAAAAAAAAAAAAAAAAAAAAAAAAAAAAAAAAAAAAAAAAAAAAAAAAAAAAAAAAAAAAAAAAAAAAAAAAAAAAAAAAAAAAAAAAAAAAAAAAAAAAAAAAAAAAAAAAAAAAAAAAAAAAAAAAAAAAAAAAAAAAAAAAAAAAAAAAAAAAAAAAAAAAAAAAAAAAAAAAAAAAAAAAAAAAAAAAAAAAAAAAAAAAAAAAAAAAAAAAAAAAAAAAAAAAAAAAAAAAAAAAAAAAAAAAAAAAAAAAAAAAAAAAAAAAAAAAAAAAAAAAAAAAAAAAAAAAAAAAAAAAAAAAAAAAAAAAAAAAAAAAAAAAAAAAAAAAAAAAAAAAAAAAAAAAAAAAAAAAAAAAAAAAAGATTTTCCGGCATTGAGACAGACCCCATACGTGGCGTTGGATGTTCCGGCGTATGGGGAGATTATGTAACATGAGATGATAGGTCACACGTGGCATAAGATTTTCCAACATGTTGACAAACCCCATACATGGCGTTGGATATTCCGGCGTATGGGGAGATTATGTGATTGTTATGTCTCACGTGGCGTAGAATTTTCCGGTGTTGAGACAGACCCCATACGTGGCTTTGGATGTTCCGGAGTATGGGGAGATTATGTAATATGAGATGATAAGTCACACGTGGCGTAGGATTTTCTGGCGTACGGGGAGATTACTATATTGGGAAAGGAATAAATTGTAAAATTTGTTGTTTTGTATTACTGTTATTGATTGTATGTTATTGGACTCGGGATTTCTGTTGAAAGAATTACGTGTGGCTTGATCCCTTAGTAAGGGTACGTAGGCAGTCTAGGGTAGTGCTTAGGTGCAGCCGCAGACTAAACTCTATTTATGTTGTTTTATTGAGATTGTTTCGAACCTTGTCGTTGGTCTTGAAATTTGGGGTGAAAATGAGATGTGATTGTGTTGGGAGATTAAAACCTCGTATGTTGGATATTTGGGAAGTTATTTTATATTGATTATGGTGGGCATTCATAAATTGTCGGAATTCATTATTGGCATTGTTTAGAGTATTGTTCGACTTAAGAGTGTGTTGGTGGTTTCGCTTCGGATTATTTGAAGGCCGGAGGCCGTCTATGCGAATTGCATGTTGTTATATTGTGTGTGCTTCCTATTGGGATATTAAAATGTGAATTTTGTGCAGGTTGAAATTTAGGGAATGTTCAATTTATAGGGGAGACTCTGCCGAAATTTTGGTAGAAAGTCTCGTGCCCTTATTCCTTTTTGGAAAAAAGAGGATATAGTTTCAAAAGTGGGTCCGACATTGGGGTGATGTCGGGAATTCCACAGGATTCGTTTCGGGTTCCGAGGAATTCGGGGTGGGTCCTGTCAATTGGCTAATGAGATATTTAAATTTAGTATGTATATCGGGAGTATTGTACTTTAGATTTCCCATGAGTGGTATGTGGGGGTAACTGGTAACTTAGCATAGATGATTCATCATAGATTACCTCACTTGGCCCATTATCATGACTTGACTAGAGCAATGGTAGGGCTGAGGGGGGGTCTTGCATCTAACTCATCTACCCAAGAGTCATAAGAATCACTATCACATTCTTCAGCAATGGGCGACCGGTCAGTTCCTAAATGTCGACTGGTTGTTTCATCACAGAGAGTATTTTCTTCATCTTCAGCGATAGGTGACCGATCTTTTCTAAAGTGTTGACCGATCATTTTGTCACTGAGAGCAATATATTCACCTCCAGACCTTGGCGACCAAGCCCCTTCTGCAGTGCTACCGATCATTTGCTTCCCAAGAGAAACATCTTTATATACATCATTTTGGCCATCAACTCCAAGATCTTCCAATCCAAGACTCTCCAATTCACTTCCCCTATCCTCCTGAATTAGAGAATAGGGAAAAACATAATATGATACTTCTTCATGGAAGGTTACGTACGTCTAAAGTAACATGCACCTTCTGGGTAGGAGGATGATAACACTTATAACCCTTCTGAGTAGAAGATTAGCTAATAAAGACACAGCGCAGGGCATAAGGATCAAGTTTACTCCGTTGATAAGAGTAGACATAAACATAGGCAACACACCCAAAAACTTTAAGGGGCAACTTGGAGACGGAGACATGGGAAACATGGTCATCAAACACATCATGCAGAGTCCTGAAATCAAGAACCCGGCTAGGAGTACGATTAATTAAAGAAGCAGCAAACAAAACATCATGCCCCCAAAGATGATGGGGAACAAACATATCTAATATGAGTTAGCGGGCAATTTCAAGCAATTGTCTGTTCTTCCTTTTAGACACACCATTTTGTTGAGGGGTAAAAGAGGTTGTCGTTTGGTGAATAATACCTTGAGCATAGAAGAAACACGTCAAAGTATTATTCACATATTCTCATATGTTATCAGTCTGGAATACTTTGACCAAAGCCTGAAATTGAGTAGACACCGTAGTAAAAAACTCTGGAAGGATGGAAGCAACATCATGTTTATTTTTCAGCAAGAAAACCTAAGTAAGTCGGGTACAATCATCAATAAAGGTGATGAAATAACGCGAGCTAGACCCCACACATCAGAATGCATTAAATCAAAAGGTTTTGCAACTTTACTGTCATTTAAAAGAAACACAATGCAATGACTCTTGGCTAAAATACATGTCTCACACTTAAAACTGGATTCATCATAAGAGCTGAATAAAGATGGAAACAAACGCTTAAAGTAGCCAAACAACGGATGTCCAAAGCGACGATGACATAACCAAATTTGTTGTTTGTCTTTGACACTGCAACTTTAAACAGTATTAACAACATGATCACGAATTCGTGTTGCCGGTAATGTCAAATAATATAACCCCATATCCGTTTAACATGCACAATCGTCTCGTGAGTCTTGAGATCCTAAAAAAATAGCAATGTGTGGGATAGAAAGTAGCATAAGCATTAAGTTTATCAAGTAATTGACCAACAGATAGCAAGTTACAATAGATATTAAGAACTAGTAACACACGAGACAATGACATAGTAGGAGTGAGAGAGATTGTGTCATTGCCAGTAATTGGAAAAGGCAAGCCATTAGCACTAGTTATGTATAGGTCACGGGTGTTACTAGACAACTCATCAAAAAATTTAGCATCATATAAGTCATATGATCAGTAGCACCAGTGTCAATTATTCAAGTATTAGAGTCAATACCTGAAATAGAGTCAGAAACACACAAATTTGTAGAAGTAGTAGCAACAACACCAACAATGGAGTTATCACCCATAATTGCAGCAAAACTCAATAGACCACAACATAGTACACATCGGAACACAACAGAGGCACAAATAAGGTAGATGCACGAACACTGGAACGGCACAAACACAATAGAGGCACGAACACTACAATACAACACACAAATCCAAGAGGGCACACACGACGCAGGTAGGAAAAAAAAAAAGGGGGGTTTGAACATGGGTAGGCACAACACACAGGTCACCAGAAAGTCGGCTTTGATGCCAAATCAAACAATATGGGTTAGAATATTTCTGATACATTTTCATTCTCCAAAATTAGGTATTTATAATACAAGTGTGTAAATCATAGTGGGGTTATATAAGGAAACAAATAAACTCCTAATTACACAAAATTTGTAGAAAAAGGAAATAAATAAAATTTTCATAAAATAAGAAATAAATCTCCTAATCAAATTAAAATCCCACCAACAAAAAGATGCTCATGTTGGAGTTAAAAGTTTCTGTTGAGTGTTGGTTTGTAAATCGCGGGGACTAAAAGATATCTACAAAACTAGCGTTGGTGTGTGTCAGTCTTACTCGACTTGATGTCCAAATTGACCTGTTTATTTGATAAGTGGCTTATTAGAAATGGAGAATATTGTTTTATATCCTATGGGGAAACGACAAAGCTAAAAAGAAAGCATTAGACGTTTTAACAAAAGTTCAAACCCCCCTTTGATGTTGCAACGCTTACTTGTTCCATTGAAGACCCTTCACTTCATCCGTTTCTTTCGTTCTTCCTACATTTGGTCACTTAAAGTTGAAGCCATGGTGAACTAGGACATCTTACCAAACTGAAATGGCTATATGTGAAATTTGCCAAAAGTGAGAAAGCCTGCCCCTTATTTCAATGGAAGACCATATAGGATCAAGTTAGCACACCCAAATTTCATTTTCATTAAAAGCAATCAAACTAGTTAAATTTATAGTGATTGCCAAACAAAAAACGGTAAAACAATATGACATTGAGTTCTTTTTCTGTTTTTTTTTAAGATAAAAACGATAAATTATATTTATAATTCAAGCACAAAGGGCTATCAGCCACAAGAGCCAATACAAATAGAGATAACCACATAAGGTTATTACAAATACAAAAGCGTAGTAAGCACAAAGGGCACTTAAAACCATGGAAAGTTCATATGGTGGCCACATTAATAAGCCTTTGTTTTCATCAAATACTAATCAAATAATTACACCAAGGTTAAAACAAAAGTGAAGGAAATTATGTACCCAATAGGCTAATACTAGGAATTAACCTCATCTTCAGCTGTAAAGCTAAAAGCCATCACCTTACTTACCAACCAACCTCGTGAAATCTGCTTCAAAACAATAATGTCAACGTGTTCCCAACGTTTCCTAATTAATTGCTCCCAATTCTTGTTGCCGAAACAGAAACCTCAACTTTTTCTTCACCAAAAAGCATGTTGTCATAAGAAGTTGGATTATGAGATAGAGTCCACAAAGCAAAAGCTTAATCATTGTTTAAATTATCAGATAGAGTCCAATTCCTGATTGAATTTTGTCTCTCTTTTCATATGGACCCGTCAAAAGATTGACTTTCTTTGCTTTTGAATTCTTTTTTTGTTGGTCTTTTTTTGTTTTTTTGTTTTAAGTAAGTGTGGCAAGAAACTGGCAAGAGAAAAGGAGAAAAGTATAATAAAATTAAAATACTTTGACTTCTAACTCAAATAAAGAATGAAGTAAATACTGCTGATCACAACCAACATGCTGGTTGGTACTAAATTACAATATGAACAATAATGAATTAATTTCACCAACAGTTGGAGTTGCTGGCAGCTACAGCCTTTCCATGTGGTGATCTCATTTCACGGACCTTCCTTTCCCTGGACAGAATGTGCGCCACCCTATACATGTGCAAATTAATTAAGAAAATTAATTGTGATTAGTATTGTTTAATCAATATAACATATTTATGATCATGCTAAAAAATCATATTAGATTGGTGAGTAATCAAATATAAATACCTTATGAGAGCTTCTTCATTTGTATCCTGATGAGCAGGCTCATAGATACCAGTTTGCAAATTCACCCTCGAAACCGGTTTCTTCAACAATTCCTCTCCAACTTTTACAAGGTTATTCAAGTTTTCTTGAGTAGCAATATCCACTGAAGATACTGTTTTCTCCAATGTATCATCCTGCACCATATATATTTTCACTTCAACCAGTTAATAAAAGAATAGAAAAAGCTTTTATTGTGTCGCTTAAGTTATATAGGAATTCTTGAACCCAAGAGTTAAGAATAACAAGTTCTTCATTACCTAATGGTATAGATTCATAGTATGGCAGTAAATATATCCCAAATACCTGAATTCGGAGGTAATTTTTCTCACAGTGAAGAGCTTGAAAAACAGTAGCAAGGTGGAAATCGACCATGTCACTACTTGCTTGAGTAAATACATCTACCAATGGAGAGGAACCCCCTTTCGTCAACCATCCCAAAAGACCCCATTTAGCTGCATCATCGGCATCATATTTCTCTTCAGATTTTGCTGAACCAGTACCCAACGATATCACTAAGAACCGACCATACTCAGTTGACCTTATAGCAAAGAAGTCAGAATTTCCCTGGTGGATTTCTTTTGTCACTTCGCTTATAGCAACCAAAGCCTGATAAGAAAAAACAACAATACAATGAACTAGAGCTAAATAAGCTTTTGAAATTGCATGGTGTATTATAGATCAAGGTCATAATTTAATTATATATATACCGGGTTGTTAGCAGCAACGCCACCATCAATGAGATTGAAATCTCTTGATTCACCAGTGGAAGTTTTGGTTTCAAAATGATGCGCTGGAAGATAGGTTGGGGCTGCTGAAGTCCCAATGCATATATCCGACAGTAAAGCATTTATGCTAGTGTTCTTTTTCTCCTATAATCACCATCAAAACACAAAACCAACCATGTAACTATATTAGATTTAACAAAACAAACATACACACACATATATATATATATATATTTAAAGATGTGAAAACAAACCTCATAGCTAGAGAAGACCATTGGTTGAAGCCGCTTTATATCAAAAGTTGGGATTATAACGTTTGTTAACGTGTCACTTAATCGTATGTCTCCTAATATTTCCTTCACTATCTTATGTAAATACTTCCCATCATACTTTGGTCCTGACACAGCTTTTACCATGTCCATGGCCTCACCAATCAATGTATAGTTGCTGCACAAGCAAAACATATGTGATTGTTAGCCACTATATATGTATAATATTAAAAAAGAAAAAGGTGTTCAAGCTAAGATTAATTATACTAATAATTGATGTACATGTACAAGATTAATGACATTGAGTTGAAGTTAAGATTGATGTTAAATAGCTTGCTAGGTACCTGTCTTGGGGGAAGATTTTAGGACAATGTTCGAGATAAAAATCGTTAATGTCTTTAGCAGCAAATAAGGGTCGATCATTTTCATCTGGGGTAGTAAGCATGGCAGTCACAAGCCCACCAGTGCTAGTCCCTGCAATCACATCAAAGTAATCTGCAAGCCTTGCTTCTTCACCATCCAGCTTCTGCATATGTGGCAAAGTTCAAGTGAAAATAAATTAGCAAGACAATTACTTTAAACATTATTAATTAAAGTTAAATTATGGGTTTTAATATATATGCTTAATTACCTGAAGCTCGGATTCTAGGAATTTGAGTATAGTTCCTGGAATAATCCCTCTGATTCCACCTCCATCAATGCTCAGAACGGTGACGACGTTCCCGTAAGTGGGAGACTGAAGAAATGATCTTGCTCTCTCCATTTGAGATGAAAGAGAAGGCATACCGAATGATGCACAACACAGGAAAGGTATAGAAGAGGTACTCGGAAGGAAGAGTATGAACTAATGAATAAAACTGCAGAGAGAATAAAGCTTGAACCCTAAAAGAAGGCTGATGATGATG